AGAACGTTTCATTGGTTGCAAGAGAAGCTCTATTGTATCCCTGCAGCGGAGGATCACGTGACATTCGGGAAACTGCATGTCAAGCTGTGAAATGGAGCGGAGTCTTTTCTCAGAGGCCGCATCCACCAATCGAGGACGGAACATGGATGTATGATTAGTCGATACATTCGGTCTTTGAAAGCCAGATATAAACGTTTCATGCCATGCATCCTAGCACAAATGGTGATGCTTCTTTGTACATAGGAGGCCTGTAGTAGGGGTTTAAAACTTTCCTGACGTCTTGTATGGGACTTTGACGAGTCATATGGATGTAGCTAGCGGAAAAGGCATTTTCCGATTTGAGCGTTGACGGCAAGTCGAGCAAAAGTTTGACAGCTATTTGTCGTCCTAGGTATGTCACTGCTTATTTGGTTGGGTTTCCGACATCTCAAGACTGGTCAAAGCTTATGATGCCTAGGCATCATACAACCGTTGGGCTTATCATTCTGATTTTCGGAGATATGTCCTTGCATGCAAAGGAGAAGCCAATCTTGTGACTATGATTCATGCATGTGCTAAGGTAGCAGTCCATGCATGATCGATCGCCATGCGTAACATGACTATATCTGCATTCAATGTTGTACGGCTCTTTAAGCTAACACATGGATACTCTGCCGGCCATCTGGCACCTTGTCCGAGTTTGCCAAAAGAACTTACTAGGTAGCATATGTGACCAAGCTGAACACCCCCGTTGCGGAGCCGAAAATCTGGACTAACAGCATAGAGCTGGCGGGCAAACACATGGTTAACTACGAAGTCGGTCGGCGAGTACAGGTTGCTGGCCCGCTACAAGCATGACCAAACCTGAGACCGAGCAAGTGTCTTGCACTCCGGGCCATGAGTACGCTGCCAAGTCCTTCAGTCATACGGGGATGTAACCAATTACGGACCCATATGAGAGCCAGAGTTGAAGAAGGAACGGAACCATGCAGCCATGCTTCTGACAAGCTAGGCTTCTTGCAGGCACTATAAACTCTACGAACTTCCTCATGACCTCTCTTCTTAAAGCCACGAATTTATCAAATGGAGTCTGGGAGTCTCTGGCTTCTACCACAACACCGAGTAAACTGGAGGGGTCAAAATGGATCTCAGAACTTAACCTGCAGTCCTTCCAAATGAAAACAATCATGTTGACGTGTTAAATTGCAACGCTTTGCCGTCATCCTGAACTACCTGAGCTTTCAGGCAAGTTCCTGTCCTGCAAACAAAACAAGCAAGGAGTAGGTCAGAAAGTATTTCGCAGCATAGGAGGTGACAGAAGGAGGCACTGTAGCGGCTGACGACTAGTCGGACAACTTATGTGCCCTTCGGAAGAAGCACAGGAGGAAGAGTCAGCACAACACAACGAAGCAGCGAAGTCCTCAATCCACGACGACTACAGGAGAGGTGATCAAGTGCCTCTTTGTTGCAGCAGAAAGGCCCAGCATCCTTCCACGAGCTATCGAAGCGAGAATCCTCTGAAGACCCACGTTCTGGCTTGGACGAATAAGCCCCAGGATGATCATTACCAGTTGGATCTTCAGGAAACAAAGCACAGTTACCCTGACCTCGTAACAGTGGACCCGTACAAACGGTATCTCGGGAGTAAGTTCAAACGGATCGCATGGCCTTCGAAGAACCTGCCAAAGACTACGACTGCCAGAGGCTACTGCCCTCTTATTGCCAGAACTCTAGTGAGTGCATATGAAGCCCTTCAAAGATTGAAAAGTGCTCACAAAAACCACTCAAGTCTTTATCCTCCGAGTCTGACCTTGCCTCCTTTCCGGAGTAGCAGTAATCGAACTCACCTTCTTTTGGCTGCTTGTATGTGCCGTTGCTTGAGAGTTGGCTTCTTGCGGGACTGCAGGGAGGACGAAGGCTGCTTTTGATTGACCCGTTTTCCAAGGAAGGCCTGTCTTTTGCTGATGTCTTACAGCTAGTCATCCGCCTCGAGTTGTAGAAGCAAACTTTCGGAGGCTTGAAGCGGTTCAGAGATGAAAGCGTACTTCGACATTAGTGGACAGGCAAGGTGCCTAGAAAGCTGATTACACAAGCTGCTTCATGTTAGCAGCCTGACAAGTGATGCAGAACTCTGATGTCGCTCAGAAATGTCCATCAATCTCATGCTGGCTGGAATGCGCAGGATGGGCAGTAAACAACGAGTCTCATAGAACCTGACGAGCGACTAGAGCTATCAAGTTTTAAATGCTGGCAACATATTCAGCAGCGAGAACGACCGAACGCAGCACTTCCGCCCAAAACGGAATATCCCCGCACTTGACCCACCTGTCTGACGTCATGACTCCCAGCTGAGTCTCGCCCTGAGTCGCCACGGGCTCCTCCATCTTCCCGATCCTGCAGCGCGGAAAAACGTCATACCGTCTCCACTTCTTTAAGTCGATTCAAGTAAGGAGCTTCTCACCATCAAACGCTCAGCGGAGCCCTTCAAAAGCGCGACAAGCGAGTGGGGCTTCCGGTTGCTTGGTGTGCTGAGAGCCCTTTACCCTACAACAGGTTTGAAACCAGAAAAAGGACTTCCAGCAGGATTTCTGTATCTGCACTGCTCATCTTTTGAACACAAGAAGGAGGCGGGTTGGTCTCAAAGAAAGAGACGCTCCTCCGACCTGGACCGACGCTCCGAACTCACCGATTGCCGTTCTGCTCAACGACACGAATCGCGTCACCGCTTTTTCCCTCCGGGTCGTCTGCCGAGTCCCGATCCTTGAGTCCCTGAAATGAATACTCGGTTGGAGGCCAAGGCTCAAGGAAAATGTTTTGCTACTTGCCCTATGTTCGAGGAGCAGAGGCTTTCTGCTGTGCTGAGCTTTTCAGGGCAAGTGTGCACAGCTCCGAACAAGCTCACGTGACTTTGATCCCTTGGCCTGTTCCCTTGCTTACCTCATTGTTAGTCCCAGCATTGTTGTCGGCGTCTTGGTGCACGTGCATGTTCGGAGCAGCTGCAGGTCCAGGCAGGAGTGGGGAAACCTGCGATTCAAGTGCTAGCCCTGAGGGTGCATGTAGGAGTATCGTGCAAGTTGAGAATCTGTCATCAATGTGAAACTTCTTTCCTCCAAATGTCGACAGTACGCGCAGCAGGATATGGAGGAGCCAAGAAGAGCAAGAAAGCCTGCAGGAAGCAGACGGACAAACGGAGCACACCTGCCTGAAATACTGTTAATACACGTTCAAAAGCTCACCGGAGTGAAATACCAGAGTGCAAAAACGAGCGATGTGTGGGCCCCGAGGTAGCCAAAAGATGTTGGCAGATAGATCAGCCAATCCAGCTGGTAGCCGACAATGCAGAAGGTGCCGACAAACCCTGCAGCCAGATGGAGCGCTGCTGACATGGTTCCATGCCGCTATTCTCGCCTGCAAAGGTGCAGATCAACAAACTGTCAACGTGTGCCTCGAAAGAAAACTGAATCTTGCAGAAAGCAAAGCAAGGGGATGACAAAAGTAGGACCGCCCTGTATCTGGCCTAGGGCTAAGGACCAGTTGACGAGCAAATCTGCTCTACTGCAGATTCAACTCCTGCTCGTTGGCAGGCACAAAGCAACAGGTGGCTGCATCATATGGCAAGCCATCGATGCAAACAGACCGCGTTTTAGACTTTCTTCTGAGGACTCCTCCACCGCTTCTGCTCAGTGACCATCTGAAGACCGAAAAAGGAGGGAGTGCTCAGAGAAGGAAAATTACCGTCAGGCTGGCGCCGCTCCTCAGTGTCACTAAGAGCCATTGAGGTAGCAAATACGGCAGCGGGGAGGACGGATAAACCAAAAGTGATGGGTGAGGAAAGTGCAGCACTGAAAGTGGGAGATGGACGGTGCAGAATGTGTGTCGTTTGGTTGGACGGTGAAAGGGGGGGAAGCTGGAGAGAGAGAATGGAAGCCACTGCATTAGCTAGTGCGTCAGCTTCTGCAGGATCTGACGTGATGTTAGCGAGGGTCGGCGTCAGCCAGGAGACGAGCTCCTTGGCTGGATGGTGTGTGATGGTGACATTGCTCAGGCAGGAAAGAAGATCCTGAGCAAGGGCTTCCGCAGGAGTGACGGAACTTAAGTGTGTAAGGTGGAGGTAGGTGATGGGTGCTACAGAGAAGTAGGTCGCTGCCCAGCCAGCAGACCCAACTGTACGTCAAGCAAACACTTTGTCAGCTCCTTCAACTCAACAGATTCGGCATCCCCGCTTGTTAGTCAAGGACAAGAGACTCTACATATTTCACGTGACAAGGGAGCACCTCCAAGGAGAGCACGCTCCCAGGTGATGAAGCAGCATGCAGCGGCAATGAGCAAAAGATGACTTGAAAAGCTCCAACTTAAGGCAATGTATTAGCAAGTACACACAAAAGAGGAGGTCAGGCTGAACTCACTCATGAAGTACAGGATGAGAGTATAAATGTTCGTATCCTGCAAGATACACAAGCCACATTCTAATAGCGCCTGACCATAGCACTTTGGACAAGAACTTCAAGAGCTTGGATGATGCAGGGAGCTGATTGGATCCAAGAGTTCCTTGAGTCAATTTTAGGTTGCTCTAATGCGAAGGAAGCAATTTACTCGTCCAATGGATACTTGCCTTCCACCAGCGCGACATAAGAGCTGCAGCACCCTGAGTGTAAGTAATTAAAGCTGTTGCCAGCAGCCATCCAGTGGTAGCTGCCTCAGTCTTGGACAGGTCCATATGAGAGTGGCTGAGAATGAGAGCCAGCATGAAGATGAAGTATAGTCCCGCGACTGTGCTGGACCCCAACAGGAACCGCAGGCTGCTGTTGGCTGCGGTCTCTGCAATAAGACAGCCAGAGTCAGAATAAGATCAGATTATATTGCAAGTCTTTCCTCAAACAATAATGGACAGAACACAAATTCTGAATCACCACTGCAATCAAAGCACAGCAGCAGCAAAAATAGCAAGCAGTATCAGAGGGTACTTACCAGCAGCATATGCAACCCTCATTGATGAGACACACCCGAACCAAGTAGCCGGCATGCTCATGACGCCAATGGTCACATATACGGCCGCGCTAGCAAAGAACTCATATGGCCTGGCGGTGATGCCGGCCACGCTCGCCTGGAAACACATGATCCAGATTGCGGCCTGGACGTTCCGCCACACTCGATCTGCAGCAAACCAAGCAGCCATGCAATAAGCAAACGACAATCTTGCCAAGTCGACTTTTTAAAATCCTGGAACAGAGTTGTCCATTGCAAAAACTTCGTATTAAACAGCTGTGCGAAAAGCCATGTGTTGCCCTAAGATGCTTGAATTCAGCTTCATTATGACCACTTGCATGCTTGTCAGGAAAGCCAGATGTTTTAGAAAATGCAGGTGGTGTTAGTGTCTTAGTCCTAGCCTTTAATGACACTGCCAGCATGAATGTACTGATGGTTCGCGCCTGAGAATACAAGATGAAGCAGAATCAACAAAGGGGCCACGGCAAGCCAACTTGCAAGTTGAGTACTTACTAACAGTGCTCGTCCGCTCCTTGGCAATCAAGAGGAAGAGGGGGTACCCGAGCAGCAGCATTAGGAAAAGGTAGATAGGTTTAGCAAACCATGTCTCAGTAAACTCTTGCCACCGCTTCGTCGCAATGCTTTGCACCTGTGCACTGTTCTGTTTCTTCTCCGCAACATGCTTGATATTTCCGCGCAGCGCCATTTACGTTGCAACTGCTTCAACGTGGGCAAACCTTGGGACGTTCCAAGCTGGGGGCTCTGCCTTCTGCCGCTGGAGACTCTGCTTATGCTGCAACAAGCAGGCAGCCACTGCTCCTCAGGTAGTTACATAGGAGCAAGATTCCTACCTTGGACTGCACCTCTAGCAAGCACAGTAAGTGCGCACGAGCGGCGCGTGAGCACTAGCTAAAAGCTGAGAATGCTAGAGCACAAAATCTCTGGCTGCTGGTCGCTAAGAGCGCCTCAAGGCTCAAGATCGCTGAATGCTGAAAGCTGGAATCTGGAAATGTGAGAGACTTTGCAACTTCGTGAGCACGAAATCACAATCTGATCACAAGGCACAAGCCTTGTGATCAGGAAATTGCAACTTGGCATGTGCCAGTTGATGGGGCAAAACGCCAAGAAACGCGCGAATATTCGAAGTCGTCTGGACTTGCTCACTTTCTTCCGTCCGATGTGCCATTGTGGAGCGATCGACGGCTTCGAAGACTGGTGACGTGCCCAGAATGTCACTGAGGACGGTGCAACCCACGTCGAAAGTCGACTGGACTGCAAGTAAAGCGGGGTATTTCGATGCGGTCTAATTTCGAATCTTCAGGAAGTGCCCCTCTGACACGTAGGTAACCGCCAAGCTTCATCGTAGCCGTTCTCAAATATCCGACGGTGCAGATAATCGCAAGCAATGCCATGTCAGCAGATGTTCCATGGCTTTGTTCAAAGTTGGCGCGCGTGGGAGAAGTAACATGCTGTCTGCTCAGACAGTGCACATTAGTGCACATCTGAGTGACTTCGCAGCTTCAACACAACACCCTTGACCAGACTACAGTCTACCGGTACTAAGGATAGTGCAAGCTCGCACTGCCGCACTGCCAGCAGTGCATCTCTCAACACTTACACATTCGCTTTCACAAGCTTTCAGCGCTTCAGCGATCTTCGAGCGCCCTTCCAGCGAGTTTGAGCTTTCGTTAGCGATTCTGCTTTCAGCGCCCCCACGCGCCCTCAGCAGCGCCGCTTTCTGCGGTTACCTGCCACCATTAGCAGCAGCCATGGCTTCGCTGCAGTCTGCGCGCAGGCCAGGGGCTCCTTGCACCAGCCCTCGGAGGGCGCCCTGGACATGCTCGAGCATGGACCGTTCACAGTCAGCACTCCGAGCGGTAAGTCTAGCAGAGCACACAGCAACTTGAGGCGCTTGAGGCGCTAAAAGGAAATAGTGCAGTTGTAGACTAAGTTTGTTTGGCGCTGGCTTCAGAGTGTTGAGAAGAAGATGACTTTCAAAATGGGTATCTTTAATAAAAGTGACTTCCTGCTCAAGCAGCCAGGGTATTCGAAAGTAGACAGCATTGTCATTCTTCAGGAAGTCATGAACCTAGGTGTTGTATCTTTGATGCTTTTGGGAAGAACACAGTGAAGCACATGGACTGCCACATTAAGTAATCGGCTTCAGTTGTGGCAGCACTCAAAACCTTAGTACCCTATTAGAAGCTGAACTCAGAGACAATACATGTTCGTCTCTTTCATGTTGCCTCTGGGAAGGCATACTCATTGGAACGTCGGCAGCTACCTCTGTTTGTCCCTTTTGTTGTCAAACAAACCCCCTTCTTCAGCCTGTTGACTTGAGCCTGATCTTTTCTGTGTGTTGTAGAACTTCACTTTCATTCAGAACAGTCACCCTTTGCAGCTTCCAATCTGCATCTGGCAGTGCTTGCGGTCCTTTTGAACAAAATCGAACAAAACACCTCTGCACCCCCAAACACTTCACTAACCCCACATCAACTTCCTCTCTGCAGCCCGCCATCCCCCCCTATCGGCGCTCGACCTCCGCCCTCCCCAAACCTGTCCAGGCCCCCTCCAGCCTCCGCCCCATCAGGACAAAACCCGCGCACCCCGTCTCTCCCGCCACCAGCCTCCGCATGATCCCCGAGCACTCCCCCTGCTCGTTCAGCTCAGGCAGCAGCCCGTTCAGCATCACATCCCCCACATCGAGCATCGACCCGATCCCATGGGATGCCGCGCCCTTCATTGGGCTGGCAGAGGTGGAGGCGCGCAGGCGGCGGGAGTCCCTCGAGGCGGCGCTGAGGAACAGGAAGGTCTTCAGGCCTGCGGGGGTTGCGGGGAAGGGCACCCACAGGAGGGCGGAGCTGCCGGCGCGGCCGCAGCCGTCCCCGCCCAAGTTCCAGGAGTTTCACCTCAGGACGGAGGTCAGTTGCAAACAAGCCCTGAAAATGCGGATTTCCTTCTTTTGAACCCAGGGCTCTCTCAAGAACAGATATAATGCACAGTAATCTGGGATGTGATGATTACTCTTGAAAGATCAGTTTAGGTTGGTGAAGACATCTCTTCATTGCAGACAAAGAATTGTATGGGAATTGTCTTTGCTTCTGAGCAGACTCTGAGTTGCTGTTTCTCTCTACCTATTTTGAAACTGGCCAGATCTGACAACACCTTCTCCTGTTTCCAGGTGAAGGGCGCTGCGGCGCAGGCGGAGGTGGCGCGGAAGCGCGCGCTCAAGGAGGTGTGCATCCAGCTGGAGGCCAACCGCTTCCGCGCCACGCCTGCGCCGGATTCGCTGAAGCGCGGGCCGCCCGTGGTGAGCTCTTGCACTGTCTCTCGAGAATGCCTTCAAACTGTCTGCCTAATAGCCGCTATGCAGCTGAGGACGTCTTGATTCCAAGCAAGTTTATTTGTGATCGTGGCATCTAGCGTGAACCTTTTGAAATAGCAGAAGAAGGAAGGGGAACTTAGGGAATCAAAGTAGTGCAGAGTAGAATCATATATCGGCTTGTTGACATTCATCTTCTCTTTGCAGATCTTGACACGGACGTCTCCTCTGAGACGGGCGGCCCTGCGGCGGCAGGCGGCAGGGGCATGTGGCAGGACGGCAGTAGCAGGCACTAGAACACGGCAGTAGTGTAAAGCCATACACGTAGTTGACCACATTGCGCAGGCACTGCAGCGGCAGGGCCTGCAAAATTTAGGTTTCAGATTACCTCTAGTTGATCAACGGAACTGCTTGCGTTAGATACAGACTGCTTGCCTGCTACTGCCATAGCTTAGAAACTATCAACTGAAAGGTCGAACTTTGTCCTGCCACAGTAACTTAATCTGCCCCTGCCCCTCCACATTGTTCTCCTGGCTTTTAAGTACTCGAGGCCATCGTTGCGCATGACTTGGAAGACTGCAGATCCGGCCGGCCTGAAATGCATCATGAAGCGTCGTGATGCACTCATGCATGCCGTTCACCGAGTGCCATTGATTGAAGTACGTTTCATGCATTGCTTCATCGATCCGATCAAAGGATCTTCGATCTTTCAAAGGGTTTATGATCGTACGTCCTCAAAAGACTATGATACATTATCAACTCGTCGCCGTGGCCACGCGGCGACGAGTGGAGCATGAAGTCCGGACTTCATGCTTGCAAGCCTATAATGATGTAGTGCGCAACCTATTGGCCTGGCCGTGCGGCGCGCCATGTAAATCTGTTGTGCGGTGGGGCAAGATCCTGGCAGCTGTACCGACGCTCAATGCATCCGACCAGAATTACTAAGCCTCGCACTCTTAAGTTGACATGTCTCTAATTGGCAAGCTAGTAGTTTAGGCGGAGTCGGACAGTGAGTTTGTCTTCACGTAATCTGAGTTTGTCACTTTTATTTGTGAGTCAGCGCGCGTGAGCAGCCTCATGCAGGATTGAAAGGTGGTTGCGAGATCCAAAATAGGCGTGAACCTGATGGGTGCAACTTACTGGCTTGTGTTCGGAAAGCGCCCTAGCCCTGAACGGCTTTATACTGGCGCTAGAGCTTGAGGATTGCACGCCCCAAAGAATAGCTTTTTTGACTATGATGGCCGCTAATTGTAAGATATCTTCGACGACCCAGTAATGTGCACAAACTCACTAGACAGCGCAACATCTCGAACCTCTCTACACATCAATATGCATTTCTGCAACGGGTCAGGCTAGATCAATACACTACAACATACTTTGAGATATAACCCTTGGCTGCGCGTTGAATTTTGCACCAATCTGGATTCAGATTCAAGACGACTCAAGCGAGGCCATCCCCTTTTTCTTCATGCTAACTTGCATGATGCTTGCTGTCAAAGTCATGATCATCTTGGGCCGCACCTGCGCACCAAAATAAAAACCGAAGGCGTTGCTAGTATGTCTTAACAGATCCAAGAGTCTGTTATAGTTGTTACGAAGTGGCAACCATTCAAGCTTTCTTTCGATCGCACTCCCCAGGCTGCAGGCCATGCTCCTCTTATCCGCAGTTCGCTCGGTCTGTGCAAAAGCGATTGCTAGCAATCCAATCAAGAGAATACTCCCTTCACGCTTTGTGTTTGCATCACATTCCACTTCAGCGGCTTACGAGCCAATCGTTACGCCTATCGCCTCTCGCCCTCTTCTCATCGTTACCACAGGACCTACGCTACTTTCCTTGTCAATTAACCCAGTCTAATATCACACAAAACGACTCGAGCAAGCAACGAGCCTCACCTCCACAATGTCATCCCAGAGCAGGAAGATGGAGCACCCCAGCTTCCGCGCGACGCTGACGATGTACTTGGCGTTCGACTCCTTGTCCTCTTGCGTCTGCCCGGCGGTGACGAGGTACCAGTTGACCACCCGCGGCTCGATGGCGCTCAGGAGGTCCAGGAAGAACTGCCCGCTGGACAGGCTCTTGTCCTGCGGCCACACAACGAGCTCTGCTAAGTTGCGAGCTACAGAAGCTTTGGGTCTGTGGAGGATCCGACCCCGATCTGTGGAACTTTGCTTTCAGCAGATGCGAAAGAATGGATGTTCTGTCTCCGCTTGTTTCTGCTTCTCATCCTTTTCCGCAAGGTGTCTCCAAGGGGAACTGAGGAAGCGGGCAGGAGTCACCTCTGAATCCTGAATGCCTCCTTTCAAGGCAATGAGCAGCCGGCTCCAAGCATGACCATCGCGGATAAGACGAATCTAGACCCGCGTCGTTTTTAACGACTCATGTCCGTTTTAACAATCCAAGCTTTCGGGGAAACTTGCAGAGCAGTCAACATCCGTGTACGCTGCTTGTTAAAAAGAGAGACATCAAGACTCTGCAAGAGGCTCACCCGGAAGCTGTCCATCTTGGACGCCTTGCCCGTCGTCTTGACCTTGTCGTTGGCCCACGCCACGATCTCCGCGTCGCTCACCTCCTTGCCCTGGACCTTGAGCTTCTTCAGCATCAGCAGCAGGCTGTGCCGCATCAGCTGCCACAAGAACGCTGCGGGCAGAAAACGAGAAAACGTTTCGTCAGGACGTTTTTTGCGGTGCTTCTAGTGAGATCTAGCGAGAGCGGAATGCGCATGAGGTCGATGAAGCCCCTCGAATAAAACCTTCGCCAAGATCCAGAGACTACTGTAATTGCCTTAAAAAGTCCATGCGTAAGGACGATTTACCCCGAAAGTGCACCTCCTTCATGTTTACGTTGAAGATAAGGCACGAATCTGATTTCCCCTGGCCTTGTCTCCACTCATTCCACGACGTTTTCTCGTTCTCAACAATCTGACACTAGGCCTCGCATCCTCTCTTTGGCCACACTCCCTCCCTGATCCTTTCCTTCTCGACCGGCGGCCTTTGTTTCCAGGGCGAACGACCCTCGTCCGTTCATTGGATCACCATGAACAAGCAAACAGAGCTGCTATACGAAGCGCGTTCTGCTCACCCAGGATGAGCTTCTTGTTCCCCTGCACGAAGTCGTTCCCGCTGACGTTGACCAGCGAGAAGCCCCAGCCCTTGCCGATCTCCACCGCGTAGTTGCAGTTCTCCACCTTCTTGAACGGCATCTTGATCGGGGGTTTGCTAACCCGCTTGAAGTTAACCACCCCGGGCTCCACCTTGTTCAGCATTTCCAGCAGTACGTACCCGTCCCGCAGATCGTCGAACACCTGGTTCACGTACGTTTCGATGCCCAGGCTGTTGATCCACATCCGGAACGCGCGCTCCTCGCGCGAGTCGGTCTCGTCGTCGGGGAGCATCTCCGCGAACGTGACCTTGCTGTTCTCCAGGCTCAGGCCGCTCCTGCACGGGTCACGGCCTACGTCAGCTTTCTGGTTAAGGAATGTAGGAGTAGCTGCTAGGGACCGTGACGGCAAACTTGACCTTTCTGTTGTCCAGGCAGTCCCTGTAGGGTTGTGATTTGAGGATGTTGCTAACAAAAGAGGCGGTTAGTGCGACCAGGAGCCTGGTTAACCTAATGCCCAGGTGAGTGCAGGTAAAAGGGTAGAGCAAGCTTTGAAACGGTACCAAGTATTTCTTCGAAGATCCGTTTGTTTGTGTCGAACTTCGACTTGAGGCCGTTCAAGAGATGACTTTGGAAGCGTCAAAGCTGGCAGCAGCGAGATGAATTCGTAGTAAACAGACGGAGGACAGATGCAGATCGAGAACCAAAGTTTGGAGGAAGCGTACTTTCCGTCCCTACAGCGACTGCTGTAGCTATGCTGCTTTTTGGTTTGGTTCTGAGTGGAGAACTTGCAAATGACGAACGACCGTGAGACGAGAGAAGTGCGCCGCACCTGGTGTGGAAGAGGTTGGCCACGAAGGCGAGGTTGAGGTTCTGGTGCCCCTCCACGATGTCCCGCGCCTGCACGTACTTGCGCACGTCCAGCTTCTCCGCCTGCAGCAGCAGCAGCCGCGCGCGCTCCTCGGTCGTTGCCGCTTTCAGCGGGGACAGGTCGCACACCTCGGGGGCCAGCGCGTGGAGGAGAACCGTGTACGCCTCGCCGTCCTGTCACGAGGTTTGTAAAACAGTGAGTTACGTCGGTCAGAAACCAGACACTGCTCTCTGTCCTGTCACGGGCTTTGCGACAACAGTGAGCAGAGAATCAGGCTTAATCTGGCTTTTACGGAGTATGAAGTTGAGCGCACATCTCGGAAGCTGTGTTTGATCCGCACAATTCTTTACAGATCGTTTATCCTTGGAACCTTCGTCGTCTTGCAGGCAGAAACAGGGAGACCTTAAAACAGGGTGCTTTGAATGTCGAGCTGGCTACAATCGGCATGAACAAAAATGGCAGTCACTAGTTTTACGACTACTAAATTCAACGCAGGTCTTGCAGGAGTAGAGTAAGAACGATAGCCCTCTTCTGACTGGTACTTGGTAACAGACACTCAGAGAAGTGCAGCCCCGTGCGTACCTTAATATCGGCGCCGAAGTTGGTGACCTCCTTCTTGTAGCCGGAGCGCTTGAGGTGGAAGTTGAACCAGCGCAGCAAAATCTTTTCCGCCGGCAGCCGGCACAGCTCGTCGAACTCTTCCTCGTTGTCCAGCAGCTCCGCTAGCTCGGGCATCTTCTTCACGCTCACGTTCGACAGCAGCTGGATCTGCAGGAGGCAAAACCACCGGATTCCGCCCTTACTTTACTTTTCAACGGAATCCCAGCTGCGAGCCTGAGTACAATCTCCAAACGGAACGGAGTGAGCGGAGCTCTGGCAGATCCGGACTCTCACGCTCGCGTTTGGCAGCAGGTGAATTTGCAGGGGACGGAGACACCGGATTCCGCTCTCAATCCACTCTTGGGATGAAACCGACAAAAGCAACTTCGCAAGCTTCCAGCACCTTCTCTACGCTCACGTTCGGACAATAGCTGGTTCCGTCGGTTATGAAAGGCCGGACTCCGTTTTGAGTTACTTTGCAACTCGACTAAACGGAAATACCCCGAATGCCGCCCGCAACTTCTTTATAAACGAAACAAACGGACTACGAGAAGGAGTTTTGGGGAATGGATTATACCCTTCAAAGTCACGCCAATAGCAGCTCAATTTGAAGGAAATAGCAAGCAGACTTTGCGCTGAGGCTTTGTTCGCCAGAAATTAACGAAACGGAAGGAAAGCGAAATGGAGCTTAAGCAAAGAAGGCGAGCTCTTCTCGCTCAACGGGAAAAAAAAGTTCATGATTTCTACGCCAATTCGTTTTCGAACCTCCGAGCTGACAAGAAACGTCTCAATATCAGGGTTGGGTAACTAGAGAACAACAACAGTATTCCGCCACCAGTATTCCGCTGAACAGGGGAGAACTCTCTCACCCGTTGCCATGGAAGTACTCTTCCGCTACCTCACGAAGTCAGGAATTAAAAGCTCTATCTTCCCGATCGGTGACACCCTCTAGTTCGTTAGTGTAGCGCTGTTTCACACGTAGAGATCGAGGTAACCATCACGAAGTGATACGTCGAAAATGAACAACGTCGCCTGATGAGCAAAAAGGAGAGCTGGTCCTTCGCCCTGGTCTAATGCCAAAAGCTGCAACACTCTCTGCTCCAATCAGAGCTCCTCACCTTGACGATCTGCGAGATGAGCCCCAGCACCAAGTGCGGCTTCGCCTCCACCAGGTCCCCCGCTCCGATGTTGACAACCGAGCACCCGATCGCCTTTGCAGAGTTGATGCACAGCGTCTGGTTCTCATTCTTCTCCCACGCGTTCAGCTTCTCCTTGACGTTCAACACGCGCTCGTCGATCGTGCCCTTGACCGCGACGTTGATCAGCTTGCACAGCAGGAGACCGTCCTTCACCGCTTCCCAGAGCTCGTCGGTGGCGGCGTTGAGAGGGAGGCGGGTGCCGACGACGGGGTCATCCTTGAGCCACAGGTTGATGTGGTCCACGTAGGCCTGCTTCTCAGAGTCCTGTGGAATTGGACACGAGGTTTATGAGGTATCAATCAGATGAGATTAACGGAGTTGGCAACTGCTGAGGTCCTAAGAGAGGTGTGAAAGACAAAGTTGGGAGAGGAGTCCTTTGGGATGAGAATATGATGACAAGGACGGTCGTCACGTGCTCTTGGAGTCCTCTTGTAGCACACATTGAGACGAAGGCGGTTGAGTGTCCTTGATATTTTGTAAGAGAAAGAGGCACCACCGTGGTTACGAGGTCAATAAGCTCCGTCAATTCTGAACGCTTTCTTGAGTTCCGTGATTAATTAAGATAGAAGAATTTGCCGGCTCTCTTTGTGGGAGCTTTGTTGCAAAGGCCTCCGATGTTCGAGGAAGAGGCTCTCAAAATGTCAAGTGCGCTTCACGGGTGTAGGCTACCTCAGATATCCTGGTTTTCTTTTCTGCTGGAGCTTTTGGCAGGATTCGACCAGTCTGCAGCGGTTTTGCTCAGAAGCCCGAGCCTCAAGCTGACCCTCCTTATGTTTGGCTGCTTGGGGGAGAAGAAGCGTCTTATAGAAAACCAAAGGAGGAACGAACCCCTTCGAAAATTCCCAGTAAGTGCAAGGTGCTTATTCTGTAAGCTGGTGATGATTGAACGAAAGAAAAGACTATAACCCAACCTCCGGTAACTGGACCCCTCTTACAGGCGCATCCTGAAGACATTGAACGACTTCACCAAAGTCAAATTAGTCAGACATAGTCAACATTTTGCCAAGAGAGGCCAACTAACCGAGTGTACAATTTCCTTCCATCTACTCCAACGTTTAAAAGTAGAACCTCAGGTTGCAAGTTAATTTGCCTACCTCTACTTGATGGGTATATGTTGTGCTCGTTGACCGGATGAAGGCCTTGTTCAAACCAGAGCTCTTCTTCGGGCTCGAACCACTGAGTACACCATCCTGGATTGCCAGATGCACCTGCAAACAATCAAAGAAATATCAAGTGGCCATCCATTTTGCCCTGGTGCCAGATGTTGAAGAATACATATACCAGGACTAAGGAAAGGAGTCTATCAATGTCAGAAGGTTGCGAGACGACAAGCGTCCAAGCATCGGATCAGTGACCCCATGCTGGTTCTCTGGTTTCATGACAACACCTCCCAGGCCCTCTTCATTAGTCTGTTCAGTACTGGTTGAAAGACTCTTACTGAAAGAACTGGGCGGCGTTCATCGTTGGTCGTGGTTCACCTGATGAAGTGCCAATCAGCTGAGGCTAAGAAGCATATGGATCTGGAGAAGCTCCATTCACAAAGATCTTTTTGAGCTGTCAAACAATCAAGTGGTCCCACGTTGAGAGCTGGGCGCACCTTCAGGAAACCTTCAAAGTCAACACCTCCCTTCGACGTTGCGTCAAACTTCTCAACAAGCTTCGATGCTTCCTCTAGTGATGCTGTGATGTTGTGCTTGGATAGAGCAGCCTCCAGTTGCTCGGGGGAGAGAAGATTCTTTTGAAACTTGTCGGCGGCGTCAAACTGGGGACAGTTTAGGACAAGAAGACAGTTAGTATTCCCATCATATTTTGGCTAAAAGATGTGGACAGAAGTAGCTCATGGGGCGTTGCAAACCCTGGCATGCTGCTCTTCATTTAGTATCTTATGTAGTTCAGGTGGCCGTATAGCTGCCCTTAAAACTATTCAACTGATTTCTCTTAGAGATACAATAGATACACAATTGTCAGAAGCTTGTCTTAGCAAACTGCCTTCCCACTATTGATAACCTCATTGCAAGGACTTTGGCACAGCACACCACCACAAGTGGCTTCAAAGTGTGAGAGTTTCTTTATAGGCTTATTGTGCCAACATTGTATGACTAGACCCACTCACCTGCGCACGGTGCTGCCTCAGTTCACCCTGCGTAAATCTGCCAGCCAAGACAGGGTCACTCACTGCAACAGCAAAGCTAGGCGTCGCCATTCTCACAACTCAGACCGCTGAGTGGTCAAAAAAATGTGTACAATGGGCCTCAAAAGGGTGCCGATGGCTCTTCAATCACTCATTTCTGCGGTGCAGAATGGGGCTACACTGAAAGCTTTCCTATCCTATTCTATAGTGCAACCTTTCAACCCAAAGTAAGAATGAAAGAAGAGATTAAATGTGTCGACTGTCTACCAGCAGTCTGTCGCTTCCTGCCCCAATCAATGTAAGCACGAAATCAAGATCTGAGCAATGACCTACACTTGTGCATCCCCTCGGCTGCGAAACCCCTTTGAGGACACCCTCCAACCACAATGACTGAAAGATAAGGTTCAAGCCTGCTCTTCAACCTTGGCGGCCCACATTGAGGCTGCAGCCATTGCATCGCTGAATTGTGGCCATTCACCTTCCTTCCTTCTCCCACATTGACTTTTCTGACGTCGCCCCATGCAAATTCAATGGTTGCGACCCCCTACGTTACTAGCGAGTCAGAGCGAAGAGAAACCCAGCAAAGGATCGTAGCCGTCGAGAAGTCAATCGGACGGTTGAGATCGACAGTTAGTTTGCGAAGCCTACTCAACCGTCCGATAAGTTGTACCAGAGATCGAGGGCACGAGGACTCCTTGCATTCGGCGACCGTAACATGCCGTCACTCTCACAGCCTGCGCATTGAAAGAGAATCCAACACATAGGCAAGGCACCGTGTCCAGTTTGCACATGTAGTGCGATCAAGGCTTCCAGCTTCGACAGGAAGGCGATCGGTGCTGGTTGAGCGTACAAGACATGCTCTTGCCATGAGATTGTTGTGAAGGTTGTTGAACGGTTCTCAGCACATCGATATCAATAATGCAATACATTGTCCATTGATGCCCTCTGAGTTTTGTGAAATTCGTATGGCAAGATGTGAAAACTGCAAAGTCGGAGCGATTACTAATCTGGCCTTCTAGTATACTCTTACGTGCCATCTGCTGACGCACCCGCGCTCAGAATATATAGCCAGCTTACCTCAGGTCACAGTAGTCATCACGACTTCTTCCTAAAGCCTATCAATGATCATGCTAGCGCTGTTGCTGTTCGTGGTAGGTGCTGTACGTTTGCACGCAATCAATGCCAAACATCGTATGCTAATTCTCAATTCCGGTGTCAGTGACGCTCGAGTCTGGATACTTGATGTGCCTGAAAAGGTGAAAAACGAACTTGGCAACACAGGAGTTTCAAAGAATGTATCTACTATGTGCCAGAATTTTGTCGTCCTTTCATCACGGCAAACGCTGTTCAGGGTGGAAAGGAGAGTGGACCTCAGATGCTCAGAGCTCATGGAGTATTCATTACAAAGTTCTAATCACGGTGTATTGGAAATAAACGTGTTGTTAAATCACGTCCTCTTAACGGAGGAGCTGTCCAGCTCTTCTTCAGGCATGGCTCTTCGAGCCAATGCGAAAGGGTTCGTTATGCCACCTTATGTCTTAATCAAATTCTAACCTACAAATAATCAACTCAAGTGTGGCGGACTTTCAGTACGTCAAACGTTCCGGGGCGAGTTTGCGTATCCGCCGTGTCCGATGCTGACTGACAAGGGCCGACACAATTCTTTAGAATACTGTCAATACAAGGACTCTTTCTTACAGAAACCCGAACCAAATGCTCAGAAGCTCAGATCATGTCGACCCAATCCTCAGCCCTCGCGTTTTCCTTGACGTCAGCAGCGGGCCCTCCTGCGGCACGTCAAACATGGGCACAAAGCTGCTCGACTTGTAGAGCGGCACCAGCCACCCTGCCTTGCCAGCGCCCTTATTCACACTGGGACTTCCCGGGCCATAACCCGGGGAATATCCCCTTGTATCCTTTGAACCCCGCACCCCAAGCTTCCCCGGCCGCGCGCCTTCGCTCGGGCGGCCGGCCGGCGCGCCAAAGACGACGCCCTTCTTCTTGCCCGGCCCTAGGGGCCCGCCTTTATCCCCCGAGATGCTCCGCCGCCCTCCCATCGACATGCTCTTTGTCAACGCTTTCCTTTCACTCCCCCCGGCCGCTGCCGCTTTCGTATCGCCCCCCTCGGCAGAGGCAGCGCGGCCCTCCCGACCCGCGGATGCTGCCGCGGCCGCCTCCGAAGGCGCCGCGCCTCCCTGTCCGTTACTCTCCGCCAAACCCTCCGCCATATCCCTGTTCTCTTCGACGATAGTCCCGAGCTCGGCGGCTAGGCAGGCCGCGGCCGCCCCTTCGTTTCCCAGAGAGCCCCTCTCGTCGCTTGATCTCCTCCTTTCGCAGTCGCTTGACTTGCGGCGTGCGGCCTCTTCTCCGGTCGTTCTGGGCCCCCAGGGAAGATTCGCGGAGTGTGCTCGGGGCGGCTCCTTTGAAGCTGCGTAACTGTTGCGCTGCGACCGGGTCCCAACCGGCGGCGTGATTCCGGATGGGTCGGCAATCCCCTTCAGGAATGACACAGACTAAAAGGCATGAGAAACGATGGGCATTGGAAGTCGCATTCCGATACCCCGAAGTAAAGCACTTTCAACATGTTTTTCTACCCCCTCCCGAGATAGTCACGTAAAAACGATTACTTCGAAATGGTAGACATTTGTCCGCTCTGAATCAGGTTCTGGAAGAAGTTCGTGGACACTGTCTGTACAAGCTCGTGACACTCGTCAACCAAGTTCAAACAGCCGGAAAACACAATTGCAAATTATCCGGAAAAATTTGCTCCCACCTTGAAGAAGTGGTCGTCAGAAGAGAGGCTGGACATCGGCAACCCAGAGCGGCGCCGCGCCTTGACCATGGTCAGGACAGTCCGGAAAGCGCGCTTGACGCGCTCGGCCGCGGCCGCGCGCCGCAGGATCTCGTCGCGCATCGCGCGGTGCCAAGCTTTCTCCTTCTTGCGCCGGTCCTGGATCCACCGCACGTCCTGACAGAGCGAAATGACGGGTATGTCTCTCAGTCTGTTGTCGGATCGAGCTTCCGGGTTATCCAAGGTTTTGAAATGCGAGATACAGGGTCGGAAATTCCTGGAACGAAGCGGCCTTGAGATCTAAGTCCACGAGCTATCAACAGCAAACTTCCTCATCATTCGCGATGGACCGTTCTTGAGCTGTTATAGTAGCGGCCCCCTGCATCCGTAAACCGTTCTTGCTGTTCGGCGGCAAGATTATGAAGTTGTGCAAATCATTCGTCAGTCCCGGAAACCGGCGAATCAGATTCAGCTGAGCCTTACCGACGCCACCTTTCTGAGGCGCAACTTCCTCTGCCGCAGCACCGTCTTCTGGTGGCGGTACCACCAGACGCGGACCCGCTCGCTCTGCCGCCACTCCTTCAGCTGCTCCACCGTCGTCTTGCTCGGCTCCGGTCGCGAGATCTGCACCGTAAGCAGACGCTGGATTTGGACGGCGACTGTTTAGCTGGCATTTACTAGGCGGACGGGATAAACTGGTGTGTAAGACTTACTCTTGGGACAAAGAGTCGGGGGGCTCCTGTAGAACGTGAAAAGAAGTTCAAGCAGGGGTCTGAGAGAATCTTCGAACCCTCTGTCGACTCGAGCGTCGAAATGGGAAGCAAGTCCAAACAGAGACTTAACCGCAGCCCGTAAAGAAAGCCGATGGGAAGTTTAGAGTGCTGTTAATCTGCATCACAGGAAGCGGCTGCTGAAGGTTTCGCAGACGATTGGGTTTCGAAAAGCATCGGCACTTTCTCATGCTTGGCTCCTGGTCAAGCAGAACCCTGCACAGTTTGGGGTTGGGATATTGTCTACCTGTGTCGATGACGCCTTTCTCTTGCCGCCGTCGTTTGGAATGCCTTGAAGCAGACTCCATGTCAAGCACGCAGCCCTTATGCGGCGCTTTCGTCGGAAATCGTTTGCGAGTCGATTGTATCCGAAAACCAAATTACGAGGAGGTATTCCAATCCAGAATCCAAGCAGAAACAGCGTGCTGAAATCCTCACCATCCTTGCTCTTGGTACAACCACTCCATCTCGGTACAGCTCGTACTGTTGGCACGAAAACGCCACCCTTGACCGCACTTCAATCCTCGCTCCTTGCATCGACGGCGAGGCGCTCCTGCTACTCGGGGCCGAAAACGCTCTCCCTGGCCGACTGTGAAGCTGCCACTTGTCGCTCGAGAATTGGGCGGAAGCACTCAGACCGACTTGGCTAGGATATCGGAGGTTTGCCGAGGAGGACGATGGCCGGACTCGGTCAAACGAAGCCTCCGGAGCCAGGGAACTTTCGGACTCTCCGGGATGGCTCGCCTCCGCTTGAGAGCTCGTCATCTCACAGCCACTCTGCGACTGCAATCGTGCGGCCATTGGGGTTGTCGGCTCCGCTGTAGCCCCTGACAACCTGCGGGATCCTGCTTCCCCTTCGGTGGAACAGCCGTCAGGAGCTTGCGACCGAGCTTCGTGCAGCTGAGTTTCTGACTGGAATGCGTTCTCTGACCAACCCGCACTCACTGTTGGCTCGTCCTCTTCTGACTCTACCACCGAGCACAGACCGCCGATGACGACGTCGCAGTCCTCATCGTCGCCAAAGTGCTCAGCTGCGACTTCACTAGACTCTTCTCGACCCTCCAGGACCTGACCAAAGTAAGCTCTGCTCTCATCGAGAACCGCTTCTTCTCTATGTTCAGGGTCTGAACGATCAAAACTCAAAGTGCTTTCACCAACATCCCTTGCGGACTGACCCTGCCCTCCCTTGTGCCCCCGGCCCACCACCTCCACGTCATTCTCCCCATCAGAGTCTGGAACCACCTCTCCAGCACTGGCTCTAGTTTCAGAGTAATTTGATGCACCTTCGCTCCTCAATCCTAGGCTTGACACCCTCCCCAGTTCCTCGGTGTCCCAACTAAGGCAGCTTCTCTCAGTGTCGCTCCCACAAGGAGAAGCTGCATCATCCTGCCAGGAAACAGTCCTTTCTGCATGCAGCCTCCGATTCATCCCTGACATGCCGGCAAACCCCCACGCTGTCTGCGGCCGCTTTGGGAGTTGGTCCCACTCCCTTTCTCCCCTTTGCCTGAGCGAGCCCCCTTTCCCGGCCTTGGCTCCAGTAAGAAAGCTCCTGTGCATTGAGGCTGTCTCAGGTCTGTTTCTACTGGCTGGGGCCCCATTTCCACTGCTCAGAGCACGGTCTTTCCTGTCCTGAAACCTTTGCAGCAGCTTCTGCTTCTCTTGCTCCAGTGAGGCAGCTCCATACAACTTCCTGAAAGACCGCAGCTTTCCCTCTAATTGCAGGGGGGAACCTTTTGCATCGACCTTCTTCTTTTTCGCTGACATTGCAAGGCTTTCTGCTGATTGCTCTGCAATTGCCTCCCATCTTCCTCGGTTGGGGTGGCCAAAATCAGTGAGTCCATCGTTCCTCCTAGGAGGACTGTGTGGAGCCATTACATCCGGTCCCTATAAGCGCAGTATTCAAGACCTAGAACACAGTCAATGTATCTGTTGCACTTGAGGAGAGTGCTCTACCATCCCTTCCAATGGGCTCATCTACTCTAGGCTGTCCTCCTGCAATCCTAAGCAACACTGCCGGATTGATGGTGCGGACGACCATTATATGGCAATGCTGGACGTAGGAGTCGCTGAAAGATGTTTCGTGTCTGCATTCCCCGCACTGCCGATTCAATACTGGCAGATGCAAGTGTTACGGAAGGAAACAAGGCAGTCACGATTGCTGTTTCAAGGATATCATGGCCGGGATCCTAATGAAATTAGGGCGCTGATCAATTTTCTTTCAGGGGTTGCCGCAAGAGGACAATCAGCAACAACTGGATCAGTGGATGTATGAAGGGCGAACGAAGCTGTATCTGACAACCACATGTTTCTACAATGCAGAGATTAAGCGTCGTGGTCGGGTCCATACACATAGCCAGCAGGCGGGCTGGGAAGCGGCTTGTGGCCGCCTCTGGCCGCCGCTTGCCTCACCAGCGCCAAGGTTATACGCGCAGGATGGTTTTCGTACGCGAATGAGACGGAAAATTCGACCCCAGATTCTACCCGTAAAAGTTAGAATATTATTCACAAATTCTTAATTTAGGCCCTCAATAAGAGAGGTGGGAGGTAAACCCTAACCCTAATATGCATGGCGGAGACTGACTGTTCATTGCCACTGCCATTGGCGGTCAGCGAATGCAGGCCTGCCTCTTCCCAGCTCTTCCTGCTCTTCCTGCGAGCTTTGCTCTTTCACGTCTTTGCACACCAGCCTCCAGGTCTCGCTCTTACGCTTGGTTCGGGCAAGGTGCGTCATGTGACGACATGAGCAGCACAGTCAAGGGCCAATATCAGGGAATTCAAGAGGCTGCAATATTTGTCAACTTTTTTGCGTGCTGACCTCCTTCTGCGGTGCTGACAATGCAATGACTGGCGTGCTAGTCGGCAGTAACAAAAAGAAGGAAAGTCATTGCTAGACACGGGCTGAGAAACATAGAAATCAGACAAATGAGAATCATGGTCTTGCTGGCGCAGGGTCAGCGTTACGTTGGATTGCTTCAGCCACATTCGGTTTTCCTGAGGCATCCAGCCAAAGAGAGAACTCTTGGTGAGTTTGCGATGGTGTCAACACTCTGATACTGTATGACGGACGCAAGCAGTATTCCTTATAAGCAAGTTAACGGCTCAGAACTCAGTCAAGGCCCAGAAAAGATTCCAATGCAGTGCATAGCAACAAACCTTGCATGATATGGCTTCTTCCGAAGCGGAGAGCACTGAAGAGCCAGCTGCTGCAAGCAGCATGGGTGAAGGCGTCACAGCAAGTCAGCTCGATGCGCCAGACCTTATGGGCCAGGTCTCCAGTGCGTCCAGCATGCGTGCCAGCGAGCTCAGTCAGCAGGCTTCAGAAACCACCAGCGTGGGACAAACCTCGCGCGCCACGACTGCACGAAGTGCCAAACATGTCCAGATTGCCACGTTGCCTGATTCAAGCGGCGACAATCTTACAAACGAGTCGGCAGGCAGAAGAAGAAGCATCCCAGAGGGAAGCTCTTCAGCAACGTCCCTGCCCGGACAGCCAAGTCCGGAAGAGCGGATTAGGCTCCTGATGGACGCGTACAGCCCCCGGAAGTCCCTGTCAGCTAGAAGCGCTCGCTTTAGTCCCCGGCCTTTGGACTCCTCCCGAAAGAGGAACAGTGCTCCTGCCAATGCCGCTGCTCAGGGGATGCTCGCTAAGGAGGTGAGCTCAGAAGTGTGATGACATCATGCATTGGTTCCAAAACTCTGGCAAGAACAGGACCCAGTGCCTGAGAGAAACGTGCATTGCGTGGGACTGCTTCACCAGACTGCTTGATCATTGATGTATTTGCTGCGGATGCTAAACTAAGAATTCTCTCGAAAATGACGGGTACTTGTCTTGCAGACCAGCAAAGTCGTCAGCACCTATTCCCAGATGGTGACAAAGCTGGCAGCCATCTACAACGATGAGCGGAAGATTGCTGAAGGAAAAGAGAAGGAGCGACAACACCTGGTGAGTCCCATAATTTTCCCTTTGAATACTATTGATCAAATCTCTCAGTCTTAGAAGACTTGAGAAGATTACCACTTTCTTTCTCCTCGACAGATCCTTGACATCTTTGGGCCTCAAGCCTTGCATCTTAGGCGAAGAAGCACCAGTCGGCTCGACATTGCGTGCTTCTCGCTTTCGACCTTCAATTGATCAGCCCATCCTGGCAATCAACAGATATTCTGGCCTTGAAATCGAGACGAATCCGCCTTTTTGACATCATTTTGGCCTTGCCTCTTTCAGGTAGAGACTTTGAGAGACCTGGAAGCATCCAGCATTACCCCCGCCACTCTACAAGGTTCGCCTGAGCAGGTCGGCAACACCTAACCTTCCTACTTCAAGGAAGCCTATCCACAACAAGCTTCGTCTCAGCTTTCGCAAGCACGGGTTCTCCCCTCCCATGCTTGTGATCGTCAACAATGAGCCGTGACGGACTTGCAGCAGAGGCCTGAAACAAGTCGGTTTCAAAACTTTGTTTAGAAGGAATCATCAACTTACTTGGTCCCTAAACAAGGCCTAGACATTCAAGAGCTTTGTTCGGATTCATGTACACCTTTCGCACCCCTTAACAAGCTGCGGTGCTGTTCAATGTCCACCTAGGGTGTTTCGCTGTGAAGTTCCTTCTTGAAGCAATCAAGCCCCACATGCACACGAGCACAGAACCAGACTGAGTCTCGAAACGACAAAGGACACCGCGATCAGCTGTGAAAAAAGCAGGCTTGCATCCTGCGCAAACGTCTTCCTCACGCTGGGGCACCTGTCTTCACCTTTCGTCCGTATCGGACTACGACTCTTCTATGCAGGCCACCATTGTGGAGCTCAGGGAACGAGTTGGGACACTGGCAAGCGAGGTCGAGGAAGCTTCCAAGATAAGTCGGATGTGAGTTATCTCATTCCCAGTAATCGTTTCACCTGATAGTGCCAGCCTTTCGGTTTGCGTTGAAGTGCTCCAGTGGGTATCAAACAACTCTACGGGCCTGCTACGATTTAAATTGACGGTGTGATTCTTCAAAGCAACGCCGGATCTGACGTAAGAGACAAGCACGTTGTTCTACCTGGAAGTTGCTTCAATACTATATTGCACCGTTAGCATGACTGTACACAGGGCTGTGTGAATGCATCTCACAGCTTCCTGTAACGGCTTGCAGGTGCGAGCATATGGTCGAAAGGATACGGCTCTCCGCCCAAAGGAAGGAACTCAAGATCAAGGTACGTTGCATTCCGGTAGTGTCTCAAACCAGCGACTTCTCGAAGTTCGAGAAGTCAAGCCTGCAAGGCAGCTCAAATGCGACAGGAAGTGAATGAACGAGGCTAAGTCTAATGCTTCAGCAGAGCGACTGACATGAATTGCTTCCACAATTCCGTCTCGGTGCAAGCGTCGTTTCGTGGGAGCCTGATCAGGATCGGGTGACGAGATGGGAGTCCTAACTACCCACGGTTTTGATTTTGCCCCCGACATTGTATCTTGATTCTTATCAAATATTGGAGGTCAGCAATTGAGGCGCCCAATCATACGGCTAAAATCGAAGACGCTCCTTCCGCCTCCACTCCATGAAAGGTTCTGATTGGTTTCTCTTGGATGGAAACTGCAACTTTCACGGCGGTTCAGGGTCCCTCACGTGCGAGGACTGATTGCTGATCCTCTATGGAGGTACAAGTTGTTCATCCCCCCTCTCATGCAGCATCTGAAGGTGCTTCACGACCGCGTGGCGACAGACCGGGACCAGGCAGAGCTCAACATGCACAGGTAAGACCTCTTGGAGTTTTATCTATCTGCCTCTGGGAACCGTCAGGGAATCAGTTAGCATTCGCAGAAACCTACGAGACTTGGAAAAGCGAGTACACCAATTTTGCTCCACTGCAGAATACTGTCCTGCATCCTCTAGGTGTCCAGAAAGCAAGCTTTCAGAACGCACCTTGTGAGCTTGCCAGCTATGTATTGCGGGAATCCTATCTCTTCCCATGTTATCTCTCTTGTGTGATGCTGCAGACAGTCAGGAACATTTGCGGTCAGACAAACCTGCCCACACCTCCTCCAAGAGGTTCAATCCTTCAGGGCCCGAGCAAGTTGTAACAGTCATCAGAGTATTAGAATGATAATCCAGAATGTTGTAACACTAATCAGAGGATTAGAATGATATTCCTGAAGGTATTGATGCCCTATTACATCAGCTCGCAAATCTTTCTTTTCTGATAACCCTTTGCCGACATGGACGAATCTTGTCGTTCCTTGCAGAGCGCAAGACGAGCGACTGGCCGCGGAAAACAAGGTGTTCGACTTGGAGGCAGACCTGGAGGACTCGCAAACAAGGAATCAGCAAGCGGTAAGAACCGCAATCGTTACGTCCAGCACCTGTCGAAGGCCTGGAAATTCAACATCAAGCATTACGTCACGAGTGCATGGTTTCACCGCTTGTTGGGAGCTCGAGAGAAGCATGAGCGGACCTGTGCAGATGGGTCTGTTTATGTCAAAAGAGGATAAAAAGCACGGTGTTCCCTTCCAAGATTTCATCTGCTCTTGATGTTTTCTGAGCGGTGACGGCCCTGTGCATCGTTTGGACATCGTGAAGATGCAACAGCGCTGGTTGAGGTTTACGGGACCAGCTTCTATTCAAGATTTGAAGCATGTCCTTGCCTGGTAGAATGTTTTAACAATCGAGATTCGTGTTTGCCCGGAGGAAATGCCCTCGGATTTCATGCGGCTCAATGTCGACAAATTAGATCTTACGGTGCGCGTCGACCGACAAGCTGCAAAAAGCTTTCCAGATTACTTAGCCAATGGGACAGCTTTTCAGATCCACTTGGTAACCCAAGGTACATACCAGAAGAATAATATGGCTTGAAAAGTACCGTACCTCCTACCTGTCCGTACTTCAGAGGCAACACTGGAGGCCAAGTAGGTTTTCGGTCGACGCGCAACCTTATGGATGTTTATGCCGCGCACAGCTGGCGGGCCTGCGGCGCGTGGTGGAGAAGCGCGAGGAGATGCTGCTGCAGCGGTCGCTGTGGGAGAACCGGGTGCAGGCGGACATCGACGCGATCCAGCGCGCGGAGCGCGAGCGCGACCTGCGCACGAAGCTGGTCATCAACTCCTTCCACAGCGTCAAGGCGCACGTCAGCGTGAGCATAGTCATTGAGTTTTTTTCCGCTTTAAAGGTGAAATCGCACTCGCCAAGGTTAACAAATCTTTTCGCGCTTCGAAACCCTGAGGACTAACAATAAAACCCCTGGACGCTCGAACCATTTTTTCGCTTGCACGACGTGAGCTGCTCATTTTTCTCCTAGATTCGTTTCGTAATAGCCAGCTTTTCCCCAATAGAGCAGGGATGGTTTCATTCGGTATGATGCCCAGAAGATCGGTAAGGCCCGTCGCGTCTCGGCAGACAGGTCCGTCGGCGCTCAGCAGAAACTGCCAAGGGATGCGACTTTCAAGCCTGAGCATTCGATGCTAGGAATCTCGTCTCGAGAAAAGGCTTATTACCACGCTGCTGCGGCAAAAGGACCGTATCAAGCGGACTTCGATCCGAAAGCCTCCAAGCGCTCAGGTTTCAGAAATTCAAATTCTTTCTGTTACCCTTGGCACAAGTGCCAACGCTGCCAATAACTCCAATCGCCACAAGGATTACTCACCCTCTGTTCTCTCAAAGATGACTCTCTATCGCATCATCTTGTTCAGTCACTTCCCGCTCCTTTTGAGCTTCCTGTACTTACGTTCAATCGAAGCCAGCAGTAGCTGACCTCCAGCAAAGAAAAATGACGAAGAGGACGAGCTCTTCGCGTCACTCTTGTCTGAACTTCCCCCGTCTGATGAATCCTTGCGCTCAAGTTGATTCTTATCTCCACTCTTGCAGCACCAGAGCGCCAAGGAGAAGGCGGAGGACTACGAGGAGCGGCTACGGAAGGTGGAGCAGTCGACGGGGCTGCACATCGACTTGCGGAACGTGGGGGATGTCGTCGATCTAGTTATGCGCCAGCGCAAGCTCAAGGACCTCCAGGTGCGGGCCCTCACCTCACCGTCTTTCTGCAATCGTGCTTAGGGGCTGGTATTCTTGTCCGTATTTGGTTGTTTGTCGTTTTTGCACGTCATATGTACAAATCAGACTGAACCCCTACTCCGTGAAATAAAATGAATATGCAAAGTAGACCTAGCCAGGCACCAGCACAACCTCAAGGATTCGCAGCACGACCCCTTATCACGACTCCTTGCATTCTATCCAGCTGCATCAACCCCCCCGAAGCCGTCGTGAGCTGCTTCTTCACCAGTTCTTTGCCTGTTGCTTCTGACCCCAAAACTACGATTCTGTTCATCTGAGTGGTATTTAAGTGGGCGTGAGATGTCTTGGTTGCCACGAACTACACTAGTCAAAAGTTTGTGGCCCAACCGAAGCATGAGATGCAGCTTTTTATGCGCCTAGAGCTCGAATTCTGGTCGCTGCAGGTGGACAAGGTGCGCGGCGAGGCGCGGCGCGAGGCGCTCGCGGAGGAGCTGCGCGAGCTGCACGCGGTAGTGTGGTCGCTGGCGAACGTCCCCGAGCGCAGCTCCAAGATGCTCGACGAGTTCACGGGGCCCATGCGCCGCGCGGAGGCGCGCGCGGAGAGGGCCGCGCGCGACGTGGAGACGCACACCACGCTCGCGCTCAAGCTCAAGAGCTGGCTGCGCAACCTGATGGAGAAGCTCGCAACGGTGGACGTGAGTCGCACCGAATTGCTCCGACTAAACGCTGTTTGTTGGATGGACATCTGCTCGATCCCGCCCAGAAATCTCCGGCTAGCTCAAGCGTTTCTGGTACCATGATTGTACCTTCGGAAGAGCAAAGCGCATATGCAAGACGCTAATGTCAGGTGGATCTGTTTGACTGTAGTATTCTCTTACATACCAGGTGACTGCTTTTGGTCGATGCCCAGGACAAGAACGGATTGACCCCGGATATTCGCTTAAACCTTAACAATGCTGGTAATCTTAGTAAATGACGGAAGTAACCCAACGGCTCACGTTGCCTCTCTTGCTAAACGATTCACGTCTATTGAGACCAGTGAAGTCCCATTTTTTCCACCTGATGCACTCTTTCTAGACGGCTCCTTCTGACGCTCTTAAACGTCCACCGTTGCTCAAACGGGCCGATCCATTTCGCTCGTCCACCTCAGAGACTCAGATCAATCCCCAGAGTACGATTCGAGTAGTCTTCTCCTTCCTGGATCAAACAGAACCTTGAAGGCGGTAAGTCCTCAAAGCCTAAGCACTCAAGTATGGAACGAAAACCCAGCTCTTTGAATGCTGGTGGGTGAGTCACCGGCTCAACAGCCAGAAGACCCTCAAACCCCATAGATCCTCGATATCCTGAAAAACAAAATGATACACCATCTTTCAGATGCTGGTGGGAAACGACCGGCGCAACAGCCAACCGGACTCGGTGCCCGCCCCGGCTGGGCCCCCTGTGCATCTCACCATGGCGGACGCTGACCTGATCAAGGCGGTCGAAACCCTGGAGAACCGCCTGTACCGCTGCCTCCTGATCGCCTCCGCTCCGACAGACGCGGGCGGCGATACCGGCCGGGACCCTAGAACTCCGAGGTACCACTCTGCGATTTGATTTCGGCACCTTCGACGCCGAAAAGCTGATTATGAAACTTTCTCTCCTTTCGGCAGACCTGGTGTTACCTGCTAAACAACACCGTTATCGATCATTATCGCTCCAAACTATTTTCCGGCGGAGTTCGGCAGGGCACATCATTATGTATCTTTTGCCGAAATGACGTAGCAGTACGGTATGTGTGGAGAAGGTGGGTGACTGCTGAGGTTCATCGGAGGAAGCACGGCACGTTTTGGCAGCGACTAGAATGACCACGTCATTCGGTTGCGTCGGCGACTGCACTGACGCGAGCGCCGTTTTGCAAAGGTGCCAGAGACTGAGTGCTTGAAGAAACGATGTCAGATGCGTCCGGCGGCCGATCAGGGAAGAGCTGCTTGTTTTGCTAGTGATTGCACGTCTCTTTGCGGTTGTCCTCGTCTTGCGTAGCTTATGGTTCTATCCATTCTAGGGATACTCCAGCGAATTTGGACTAATAGAAGCATGTGAATGGTCACAAAGCTATGGCCACGGGCTGCTCATGGAGCCCCCGAAGCCTCGTGAAATCGAAGCTCGCCCATTGTCAAACGTCCTTTACCATTTTGATTAGCCCACCTTAAGTTCGTTACCGCCCGTTTTCTTCATCCCCAGAATGGCACGGCAGTCTGTTTTCCCCACCCCTATCGCGAGCCCCCGGTCCAACGCTCCGACCTCACCTCGAAACGCACAAAAGACCCCGATGTTGAGCCCCATGGCGTCCTTCGCAAGGCGGTTCGACAAACTTCTAGAATCCAGTCAGTCGGGGGGGTCCGATGACACCAACCAACCCTCCAGTCTAGACGCCAGTGTAAGAAGCTCTCTCAGAAGTACGGGGTCCCTAGCCGCTTCGATTACCGGACCTCTCCTTTCCTCGAGCACGGGTTCTCTTTTTGCCTCGACTACCGGTTCCCTTCTTGGGTCCATTTTGGAGGGAATTGTTTCGTCCGTGGACGACGGAAAGGAAGCGACGCGAGAAGCCTCCGAACCGTCCGTTCCGGGACCGGCCGAGGCAGACCGGAAAACGGAAAGCACAGGAAAGATCGCGCCCACCAGTGGAAAACTCCGGGCGACCCTCCGACCCAAGCTGGCGGCGGTCACGACGCTGTTGAGGCCGAAGACGGCAACAACACGTGGCAGCCTTTCCGCGACGACACGTGTTAACGGAACACCCCGAGCCGCGGCCGGCAGGCCGCCGCCTCCCCCCGGCAAAACCTCCCAGCCCCAGACGCCCCGGCTGGCTTCATCTCGAACCACCCCGGATGGGCTCGAAACCCACACGCAAACCCAACCCATAACCCCGAGCCCTGTGCAGACCGCGCGCGCGCTTCGAACCGGGTTGATGAGCGCGAGACCCCGGGTTACGCTTGAAGTGAATTTGTTGGGTTCCGAAACGACCGGAAGGACGCCCCGAGACGGGGACGCTCCCGCTGGCGGCACGCGACGACGGCCGGCGAGCGCGCACCCGCTGCTGCAGGCCGCGACGACGCAGCTGCAGACGCTGAAGCCGGAGCAACTAGAGGTGCGGCCTTTTGCGAGGACTTCTCCAAATTGAGCAGCTGCTCTCGGAGAGTTTGGCGTAGTCGGCACAAGAATATCACGTCTATCAAACCTGTTTTTCACACTTGATGATGTACTGGAAGACACAGTCTCAAACAGACCAGCTACGCGCAATAGCCTGTGTTATCGTGTTAAAAATCGTGTTCGTGTCTGAAGCACAATTAAACGTGCAAAAACAAACTGAAGAGCCCATTCGCGTTGCGTCAATGACCGCGAACGGATTTGACAGACACGCTTCCGACCACTATCTTCAAAAAGTGCAAGACTATTTCAAGAGACGCGGTAAAAGTCGTCACTCAAAGGCAGTTGCTGGTAATTACTTCGCGACATCCCTTACGCACGCCCTTTCGGAAGCAGCGCGACTGACGCCCGGCTCGTCCCTTCCAGGCGCTAGTACTTGGTCAAAGCACCCCACGCGACGTCGCGCTCGACCTGCTTTCACGCCCAGGTGGAAACAACTGGCGGCTGGACCAGAAGATCAGGTCAGCAGGTTTTAGTGTTGCGCTCTCATTTGAACACAAATATGCCGGGACCCGTCAGGCTCTCGGACGTACGAAGAGCTCTCACGTCGAGCTTCAGTCAGGGTGTTTCGAACGCCATGTCCAGAAGCTAAATACAAGAATCTTCGGACTTGCAACTTTTCGCGCTGAGCTGGTTGCCAGAAGTCTCTCTCTGAAAGTAGAAAATATTCGGACCTTCCACTACCTCGGCGAACTTGATTGTTGCTGTGAGATTGCGTCATTCATTCCGGCCACGAAATACTGGCAACGTTTTATGTAATCACTAATCACTGCTTTCCATAGAAGACACGATCACCGAGACAACCCGTTTGCAGGCCGTTTGCGCTTTGAGACGGTCGGGAGAACAACGCAAGGTCCCCGGTAGGCCTTGTCCGGGGGTTCTGGGTTTTCATTAAGAGTGCGCTTCCTGCAGGAATTTGCGAGAGTGCTTCATGACGGGGCCCAATGCCGAGGACGCAAACGACTCGGAGAACCGGGCGGCGATGGCCCGATCGCGGTCGGCTCGGCGGAGCGCTGTCATGAAGTCACGGGAAAAGGTCGGCCTGCATGATCACTCACCTTGATTGAGCGGCACTTCTCTGGATCGACGTTCGCTGTTTGTTTCAGGCTTAGACTGCCTTCCTGTGCCTGTGTTTCTGGGACCTGCACTAATATTCATGCACTCGAAGTTGCAGACGACTTGACATAAAAAATCGGCTGGTTCTGCACAGGGACATCAGATTCAAAAGTCCTGGAGAATCGAAGACCGTTGAAGCCCTCGCTGCGGATAGCACTGTATCCTGTTGAACCCTCGGATTTGCGGCCGTCATTACCGTTGCTTCCTTGCATCCGATCATTTAAGGCCTCGTCGACTACGTGACCGTCGCGAGTTGGCGGCCGAGCTTTCAACTCTCATGGGGCGACTCTGAATATTCACGCAGCACTAAAAGGTCCTCGCGCAAAAATGTGATTTTTCTTATCGTAATCGTGACGCCATCCAATCCGCCCACGTCGTGCAGACGTTGTTGGACGACGAGGTGGTTTTGGAGCGGGAAGACATCAAGCAGCAGTCGGCCAAGATCATGGACCTGCTGCGGGTGGCCGAGAAGAAGTGGGAGGACGACGAGAGGAGGGCGCAGGAGTCGGAGCGCGATCGGGTCGAGGCGGCCGCGCTGAACGGGAAGGACAGAACCGCGCAGATGCTTAACCGGCTGGCCCGGCCCAAGAAGCTCAGCAGATCATGAGGTCAAGTAAATCAGAACCGCGGCACGCAAGATTTGGTTGAGAGAATTGTACATAATCGGTATGAGCACGCGTCTTGCTTCCTCCATTGTTTCCCCAAAATCTTTTGAGCTTTGTTGTCGATCTTTCTCTGAGCGTTGATACCGGACCTGGTATTCTGCCGACGTTGATCGCGCGGCTCCCAGCGCACCTAAGCATACACTGGCCAATGAGACATGCCTTGGCATGCTCATCATCTGGTTTTCAGGTACAATCATCAAAGACATCAGAAACTTGAAAGCAGCAGCTTTGCTCTCGTTTGTACTCAGAGTTACCTATGCATGCCCTGCACTTATTAAAGCTAAGTCAGTGCCCACAGACATGCCTGCGGCCAAGCAATGACTGGCACATGCCACCGCGACCATACAGAATATCTAGAGCAAGGACTTGACAACCCGTAGCGTGCTCATCAAACTGAAGAGCGGTCTTACCGAGCTGTTTGCAAGGCTTTTGCTGAAGGGTGGCAGCTAGTGTTGTGACGTCTTTTCTGTTTCTTGCCATGAATCGCGTCGGCTGCACGACGGTACTGCATATATAGCTGTGGGCTTGCAGGGAATCTCATGTGCCTCATGGCTTACAATTAGCAGCATAGCGTTGTTGAAGATGCGTGCAGGCCCGCCCCTAACTTTTTAGAGAAATCCGAGTGCCCCACCTGTCAGAGAAAGATTGCTTTGCAGGATGAGGCAGAATTTACCGTCGATGGCAGTTTATCGTAACTTCCGCCGTTCGATGGACGTTGACGAGGGGGCGGGTGGGCCGGTGCCCACCCGGTGGTGGTGATTTGTGAATTTCGACCTAGTGTCAGAAACGTGTCAGAAATCGTACTACCGTACGGTAATATTGTCATAGTTCGTACCAATCTGTCAGAACACTCAACTTTTTGTACGGTTAAGTTCACCGTCACCGCGATACCTTTACGCGGGAGCCATTGCACCGGGATGTAATTTGAGTTCTACGTGAGTCGCAATTTAGCGTCAACCGGGCAAAGCTGGAAGTCAAATCATAAAAATCTATGCCGCAAACGGCGGGACTTTGCCGGCTGGTACGATGTAGACTGCTAGTATAGGCTGGCTTTGACCCCCCGCGCGAAATTTGTTATCTGAGTACCCGGTCCCCGTAGTGGACCGGGTATCGATCGTAGGGTACCGTGCAACGTTCCCAGCACTTCAGGTTACGTAGCCCTTGACAGTCAATCGACGGCCACCGTGAGAGATAAGATGCATCTACGGCGGTTTGTGCCTCATCCTGCAAAGAAATCTAAGTCTGACAGGTGGGCCTGAAACTGGCCTTGGTCGCCGCAAGTGGGCGGGGTTGTGGCATTCTTCTACAACGCTATGAGGCTCCCTCGCGACGCGAGCCATGTATCATAGTATATCGATCAAGCTTGCCAGCTCGGGCTCAGTCAAAACATCACGACCTTCAGCATGTGGAAGATGCTCACGACATGGATGTAAATACCTGAAATCGTTGGCCGAAGATCGAGTTCAATTTTCTAAAAGTCGGATATTCACTATAGCTCGCGAGCACGCGCGTGTAATCATGGCGGCCGCTGTCCATGGAAGCTTGCGAACCGTGCATGGCTTATGCAGGTTCATGCGCACAGATCTGCATGCGCGGCCGCGACGGCTCACGGTCATATCTTGCTGGCACCCACGGCAGCAGCAATGACCCTTGCTTAAGAATGACCGGCAACGATTGCTGCAGCCGAGCTATGCAACGCACACAGTCTGACTCTTGATCGAAAACCTACACAATGATCCTGGGGCCATCGAAATAAGCTTCAGCTTGTCACGTGTTGAGTTGCAGGGTAAAGCTCTGTGTGCATATGGGTGAGAAGAATACCTTGCCACGCTCCAAATGCTTTTCGGGCTTCTGGAAGGCATTCTCGACCAATCCGTATTGCATTTCTAACTACTCTCTGTACAACTACCAAGCGCTATGTCAGGTCTCCGGAAGCTTGTTGCTATTGCCTGAGCTGATCGTGTTTATGACGGATGCAGTCGCATCTCTTCCTTCTCAAAACCTTCCATACTTGGGCCACCAGTAGGCGGCTGACCATTCCGAGGTCTGTCAGAACGACTAGACTGTTGAGCGTTGGCCAAGAAAGCCTAATGCAAAACGCCAAGTAGATCATCGTCCCGGAAGAGGAAGTACCTGCAAAAGTACCGGCTAGACATCAGTCCCAAGTGATCAAGCTCCAACGGTGCAGCAAGTCGACGTTTGACAAGCGCGAGGTCAGATTAGAAAGTGGGCCAGCACCTGCCAGTAAAACTACGAGTTGGAAACACTTTCCGATTGCTATTATTAAAGGCGTTCTGTACAGGTCCGCATGGGCGGCATAGCTCTGCTGTACTGACCTGCTTGCTCACAACTCAAACACAGATTAACCCCAACGATATTGTGGCGGCCAGTATGATGAAGTGCATGCCCAAGTCTAACTGCTAGCTCACAAACTTGCAGCCAGACTGCCTGCATATATTTGACAATGAGGAACCTTCCAGCGAAAGCGGGTTCCCAACTGTCAGGATAGGGCCTGAGCTTCAAAATGGAGAGATCTTCATGGGCCTGGACAAGCCCTGACCTTTCCGCAACCATAAAAAGAATCTGCCCTGCCCTGCAAAAACCCACTCATGGGCTCTCCGACTGAGTCTTCCATCAGAAGCGATCATGGGGACACAATCCGCGGTCTCAACAGTTCCTGGCCGCCCCCTCTCAATTGCCTAAGCTAAACGCAGCCGGAAAACAGAGGTACTCACTCCTTCTCCCCCAGCTTCACTTGTGAACCCCCATACTCTGGCAAGAGCACGGAGTCTCCCTCCTTTACGCTGACTGGTATAACCTCCCCGTCCTTCGTTCTAAGCCCCGGGCCTACAGCAATGACGCGTGCCTCATTTATCTGCAGCATAAGTCAAGGTGTGTCAACAGGTATACCAAAGGTGAAGCGATATGGTACTGATGCAGGGTAAGGCTACCTGTGAAGTGCCCTTCTAGATCAATTCCAGTCCGTTATTGATCAATTCCAGTCCGTTATTGATCTTGGTGGTCCAGACAAAGAGCATCTACGCATTGAATGCCACCACTCAGCTCTGTGTTTATCCATTCTCAAGGACAGTAAGTGAGCGCCTTAGGCAATTCCATCAGTGGTTGAGGATTCTCGACGCTTTTAATTCCTACTTGTCAGCACAAAACCGGCAAGGCATCGAGTGTCAGGATACCAGATTCAACAGAACGGCACTGATTAGTTTTCACAGAGGAAGTGAAAGATCATCCAGCAAAGTCGGTTGGCCTGTTCCTGATGTCTGCAGTGCAAGGTTGACCACAGGCTCTGAGACACAGCTACTTATAATGCAACTTTAAAGAGCCTGAAGAAATAATGCCTGCGCGAAGAGAAGCAGAAACGCAGGCCAGCTCAAACACGAAATGAAAATCATGTATGATGGCTTGGTGGTAATATGTACGAAAGCACCATTACCATATTCACGCCTCAAACAAACGTTGAACACCCAACAAGTTTCACAAAAGATATCATTTGAAGCGGACCAGAAGTTTGCAGATGCTGTGCCTGATCAACAAGACTCTAAGCAGAGCGCCTCTTCAACAGAAGAAGGCTCCGTTCATTGCAGATGCATTCAGGAGCTGAAAGAAGCAAAGATGCAGTATCCGAGCACGAGATAGTCGCACGTTCGCCAGCATTGCAAGCAAACTGTTATGTGTTGGTCTCATTGCAGGATCAACAGATACTGACGGCTGATTGTACTCGAATGTCTTGTCAACACACCACGATAAGAGAGAACAAGGGCATCTGCTGGCCATACCTTGGTAGCAGACTCTGGCAGCAGCACACCACCAATCGACTTTGCTGGGGCCGTGACTTTCTCTACGAGGACCCTGTTCAACAAAGGCACGAGCTTCTTCGCCCCTGCAGCCGCCATCTGTGACCAGGTTGTTTCTTCAGAAGAGCCACTAAAGCGTGCGATACAAACTCAATTCCAGAATCTGGCTTTCGCTGGAGGCAGGCTTTCCTTCGAAAGTTGTCAATGTGACTTCAAGTTCAAGTTGAAGTTCTGTTCTCTTCTCTTTCCCTTTCGCTTCTCCTTCGTCTCCCCCGTGCTCTTTCTTGCTCAAGGCTGGCCACTGAACATTCCCCCCTGTGTGCAATCAGACAATTCAAACACCCCCAGGGCCGAGTTGCTTGGCCCCTCAAGTCGAGTCAATTGTATACATCCATACCTGGTTCAGAAGTTGGAACCGAAAGCGGGGGGGACCTACGCCACATTTGCGTCCTACGTGGGGGCCCTTATCGTCGTAACCTGCGCATTGAATGTCGTGACCAGATTCCAGAATCTTCCTCCTGGTCAGAGCCAGATTCAAGTGATCTCTTCCAAAACCGCCTATTTTCCGCTTCTTGCCGCATTCTAGCGTCATGGCTGCCGTCCACGCAGTCCGGGCCAGCTCCTTGTCAGCAGGCGCTGCACGGGCGGTGACGGCAGCTTCCTCCTGCGCCGTCTCTCGCTCCACAGCTTGCAGAGCCGTTTTCAGCCGTGTTCCTGCCGCCCGCTCTGTTGCTCGGACGCCCACTTTCTTGGGAGGGGCCGCTAAGCTCCCGGTGGTCCAGGCGGTGAAGACTGCCACCAGGCAGATCTGCAGCAGCACGATCAGATCCAAGTATGTTGTGAAGACGGAGGGCGCCCCCGACTCGCTCGAGTTCCGCGCTTTCATCCAGGATGACGAGGGCAACACGGTGCGTACATCCATTCTCATTCGTCTTTCTTAAGGTACCTCTGGTGTTGTCAGGGGTTGCTGTGCAGCTAGATTTGACTATAAACAAACATGTCATTGGAACGATACCGATGTCATGGAGGCCACATTGCATCTCACTGGCAGATCTGGTGCAGCTTGAAAGAATGCACGTCTTGAAAACTGCAAGCTTGATCACAGTCACCGTTGGTTATGGTGTAGAGCCAGGTTTTCGGAAGGACTTGAAAACATTACTTCTTGGTAGAGCCGTTTAACTGCAGGTAAAATGCTTTTAGCTCCTACAGATAAGGTGCTCATTGTTTCCCAGGAAAGTCAATGCTGACTGCTGAGTATGCTGCTCATCTAGAATGTGTTGATGTGAGTTCACCTGCTTCCCAGCAAAAATATCAGTTGTTAGAAGACACTAGTACTGTGGAAAAAGCAACCGGAGTTGAAAAGCAGCAGAAGCATGATGCGTAATATAGAACCTGTGGCCGTCACTCCTGAGGAAGTTGCCTTCCCTTGAAGGTCAATGTTGACCGCCACACTTGCGGCTGGCCACCTTGGAACCACTGTATTCAGTGGCTCATTTGGAGGTGGTGGTAGCAGTATCTTCTATGCAAGTATTGGGCTCCAATGAAGTTGTTTGCTGCATAAGTATTTTTGGACGAAGGGTGTTTTGGAGCACATGATGTGCACACGTCACTCTCTCACTACACGCTTGAGTGGAGTACATTGAAGGAGTACTTTCCTTATTCTGGTGGGACATTAATTGGTAAGTTGTCCACTGACTTTCAAACAAACTCTTTTTCAGGTCTCTCCGTGGCATGACATCCCACTCAAGGCTGGTGACGGCCTTTATAACTTCATCTGCGAGATCCCCAAGGAGACAAAAGCAAAGATGGAAGTAGCCACAGATGAGTCTAGCACTCCAATCAAGCAGGACACAAAGAAGGGCAAGCTGCGATTCTACCCGTGAGAGCTCGCGCCGTTCCCTGATTAAAACCCGTCGATTATGAGGCCTGAGCTGTCAGCCCTCGGCCAACCCTTGAGAGGCCTCTTTCAAGCTTGTCCCAGTCTCCATAGCTGGTAGTCTGTAAGAAATTCTTCTACCAAATGCCTTCTGCCACTTCGAGTGATTGCATAGACTCTTGACTTGCCATAGTAATATGTTGATTGCATATGCTGCATAAATTATGAATCGACATCGACCTTAACACAAGCGTCGAATCTGAACTGCAGGTACAACATCAACTGGAATTACGGTATGCTGCCACAGACATGGGAAGACCCGTCCCATGCCAACCCTGATGTGAAGAACAGCCTGGGGGACAACGATCCGGGTGAGTTGGTAACAGCAAGTGTTGACTTTGTGTATTTGGAGGAGGCTCAAAACTGGCACGCCTGAGCGAGCGATTCACATAACCGGGCAGAACGAGTCTCTGAGTGCCTGGAGGTTCTTTCACCTTGTCAAAGAATAGCTCCCTTTCGTTTCTTCCGTAGCAGTGGGGATGGAGATTTGTATACCACATCCAGCTTTTCACCCTCTCAGCTCGAGATAATCGGACCTGACATGCTGTTCTTGAGCAGATTGCACTGTGAAGCTTTGGGGCTCCACAAACTGCAATATGGCATGCTCTTATAACCTGGTCAGGTTGAGGGGACCAGATAGCCCTTGACGCATCTACTCAAACGCGTGTCTTGCCTGGTGATCTTGGCTGATCCATGAAATTGTACCGCAGTGCTCGTTTTGAGTCGCCAATCTTTTCGTGTCCTTCGTTGTTTCGTCTATTCAATCTGGCATCGTACTGGACGCAATTTGTGCCACGAAACGCTGGATTTCTCGCATGTCTTTCACCAGATCAGCAGCTTGCTGTTGTCCAATCAGTGGTTAGTGGTCGCTGATCAATCAGAGCAGCAGAGCAGTGGTGCTGCGGAACTCGTACTGTCCAAACATTTTGTTCTGGAACACCCTATTCATTGTGCCGGGTATTCATTGTGCACCACCCCAGCTTGAACGAGCATCAAGGAGCGTAAAGAGCCCAACGGCCCAAATCATATCCTCGAATTGAAAAGCCAAGAGGAGTGAGGACGAGTCCCGCGAGTTTCAGTAACTGCTGAGCAAGGCTGAAGGAGCCTGGAAAGTCCCTATGAGGCCCCAAACCAGCCTGGAACCAGCCTGGAACCAGCCTGGAACCAGCCTGAAACCCGCCTGAAACCAGCCTGAAACCAGCCTGAAACCCGCCTGAAATCCGCCTGAAACCAGCCTGAAACCAGCCTGAAACCCGCCTGAAACCCGCTCTCGTGCAGTTGACGTCGTGGAGATCAGCGACCGCGTGGCAGAGATTGGCGAGGTGTACGCAGTGAAGCCGCTGGCGGTGCTGGCCATGATCGACGAGGGCGAGCTGGACTGGAAGGTGGTGGCTATCCGCGCGGACGACCCCAAGGCCGACAAGGTGTCCGACATCGAGGACGTCGAGCGCGAGTTCCCCGTGAGTGACCTCTTCTTTTGAAAGAACACTAAGAGTTCTCGGCAGCGGCATCTTGGCTTGCGATTAGGCATTGCGACAGCTTCAAAGTTGCTTGGTCGGTGGTTTGTGTAAGGCTCAAAGTGCTGATGCCGGTAAATGCTTACCGGGATGAAGCGTCCGGCGGCAGCGAAGCACAGCATAGCGTATTACTGCCCAGAGAAAGAAAAAGAACTCCGGCTGTAAAGCTGCATACGGGTACCGGTCCTCGTGATACTGTGTGGAAAGCGACGAAAGGAATGTTTCTGTCCGGGCGAGTGAATTGGTTAAGCTAGCTGCAGCTTTCTAGCTATCCGATCACACAATTCTCTGGCCGGGAATCCTTTTGATAGCTGGTCCCTGCCTGGATCAGTTTCCACTGCTAGAAACGGTTCGATCTGCTCCGTCAGAACATTGCTAGTTGTCAGCATCAATCTTCGAAAATATCAGCCAGCGTCTTGTAGCTCGCTGGGGCGCCAGCAAGTAGGAATACTTGATCATGCTTAACCCTGCCTGTCCGCCGCGCCTGAAGCGATTTGAATGGATTACAGTCAGCAAGAGTAGAGCGCCCTTGTATTTAGTTGGCTTAGAGTCAATGAAAGGGTTGCTTTGCTCCACAGGGGACCCTGGAGGCCATCCGCGTTTGGTTCAGGGACTACAAGACCCCCGACGGCAAGCCACAGAACGAGTTTGGCTTTGACGACAAGCCTCAGTCAGCTGTGAGTTGCCACACTGTTTACTTCGGCTAAACTGTTTACCTTTCAAATGCTCGTACACTAACCCATGTCATATACCAGTTTCTCGAAGTTCCTGATTTGGCTCTGACACTGCCCCGGCGCATTTCTATCCGCCTCATACTTCATTGGGTTGTGTCACAATCGAAGCGTTTTAAATACTGTCCACCCGAAACGCGCAGGATTTAATTGCTTTCAACTTTGTGATTGTCTCGGGAAAGGTATTCTACTTCACACATACCATGTGGAAGGATGCCCCGAGCTGTTAGCAATCGAAACACGCGGCCACCATCTTCAAGGAACAGAAATTCTCCTCGGTTCTGGTTAAAACGCTGTTACGGCATCTCTCACTCTTGAGCTTCTCACGCAGGCCTATGCCAAGAAGGTCATCGAGGAGACCAACCAATTCTGGTCCAAGCTCGTGACGAGAGTGACGGATAAGGGTGACCTCTCTCTGGTTTAGGTACTGCTTACGAATTGTATCATGAGGTAAAGATACTCAGAGCTTCTACAGAAGAGAAAACATAAGTACAGTCCCGGCCTGATTGTTTGTGGGAGCATTGTGCTGCAGCCTAAGAGTCAAACGATTTTGTCACTGAACAGGTTCAGTTGGATACTTCGATCTGTTGGTTTATTGACTTTGTTGCGTATTGGCGGCATGCACTTGAAGCACTTACGGTTTACCGTTGTCAGGATCTGGATGCGTTGATTGGTTGATGGCCTGCCCTACCGCAAAACTGGTTTCTAGTTCTGGCTGCCCCGCGGCCCTGATCGTCATGCCACATGCATGGAGATCAACATGCAGGCTTTGCAAAAAAGAGTTCATTAGTATACACCCATGCAGCGCTGGATCCATGCAATTTCGTACGTTCCTCCCGATCAGTAATTGAATTGGAAAGTGCAATGTTGAGGGCGTTGAATTCGGGCTGCCGCAGCTCACTGGTGTGCGCGTGTCGAGGCCCCGCAGCTACTGACATTTTCAACAGTCTTCTCTAGTCTTCGGGCTGCATATATGAGCAACCAATAATTGCTGTTTCAAGTGACATGACACATCGCCCGTGTGTCCGGTGGGCCCGCATGCTAGTGTTATTTTGTGAATCCGCATGCAGCTGATGCAACTGAATCATGCATGGCCTTGACAATGGCCGACACACGTTAGGCAGCCAACCACGCGAAGGCACAGAACTTGACTGACTGCTGTGTGGCCTGTAAACGACACGTCGTTTCAGCATTGGAAAAACGAGGCACGCAGTTAACATCAGTCGTAGTTAACATCTTGATTGTTTTGGAATGATGACAGTCTGCTGGGTGCTTTGCTGCTTACCAGATCTTGAACGAGGAAGCAAACCGTGGCAGGCCCGGCAGTTCCGAAATAATTCAGTCGTTTGACGGCCCAGCCCGCGCATGAGCGACTTCAACTCTGTACATGATGCACACACCTTGCTTTCACCGAAAGTCTCCTATACATGCATCCAGAATACGACCAAAAGCGTCGAAGTCCATCTAGTCGAATCTCCTCCGCTTCGACCTGAGTTGGTCAAAGAAACCTCGGATGTTTTCTTCGGTCACAGTGGCACCGGAGCGTGCAAATGGTGCCTGCATGACCGACATGCCAAGCGTCAGCCCTTGGACGATGCTTGTGCTCTTTGTTCGAGGCCGTCATACACTCGGCATAGAATAGAGACTCTGAAGTGGTATGCGAGAGCAGGATAAAAGCCGTTATCCAAGTTGGTCTGGGAAAGAAGCTACCCAGAAGCTTTTGGGCAAGATCTCTACATGCAGCAATGTCACAAACTCAACGTACAAAAATAGACCTTGCTCTTCACCAGAACTGTTGCCGTCACATATCAAAATTGGCAACGAAAATTCCATGAGGTGCAGCAGGCTAAACGGAAATCCTTTTCGAAGCTTCTCAGATATAGTACTGCCGTCGTTACGCAGTGAACGGCGAGGCTTTCACGATGAGTACTTCCAAGCGAAAATACATTGAATGGAGGAGGAATAGAGACTGTGAAAGGACAGGTACTTGCGCAGGCGGGCCGCCATGTCTTGAAACACTTGGGCCACCTTGAGCAGCGTCGGACGTTCAAGTAAGAAACACAAAAAGCGACGAGAAAGAGACGAAGAAACAAAACCAGTACAGAATTGAAAGATGCCACTTGGGCAGAAGAGCCTCGACCAGGCCGGCTGCCATGTCTTGGTACAACTAGATCATCAAATGACGTTGAAAAATAGAATAAAGAAAAGCCAAGACAGGAAATGAGGAGAAACGTAAAGTTGGGGAAAAGAAAACTAAGGGAGCAAGGCCCACCAGGTACTCGCGCAGGCCGGCTGCCATATCGTGGTACCCCTGGATGACCTCCACCTGCTGCACCCGGGGCATGCTCCGCAGGAACCCGTCCAGCGACTCCTCCGCCGTGTCCGAGAGCGACCGGTTCTCCTCGCCACGGGCGCGCGCCTCCTCCTCATACGCAGCCACCGTGTCCCTCGGTTCAAGCAGGAACGTCACCCGGTTGGCCTCGTAAACACGCACGCACGCCGCGCACCGGCAGAGCTTCTGGCGCCAGTCACGAATGAGGAAGACCGCACGTTGGATGGGCTTTTGGCCCGGCTGAGGGGTGCGGGGACAGGTGTCAGATGCAGGCTCCTTCCGTTTCTCGCCCCTTGGTTTTGACGATCCCGGATTCCGGTGTCCGGATTCCGCCAGGTGCTGTCCGCTGCGACTCTCGTCCCCTCTCAGCAGCGCATTGAACGCCGCAAAGGAAGTGCGCCTGGAGGGATCCCCCTGCGGATCCGGGGGGCCGTTTGCCCCAGAACTGCTACCACCGGAAGCGGCGTGCGGCCAGCCGAAGCTAGAGTTGCTGGCCGGGAAGGAAATGGACGCCGGGGTTTGGATCCGCGCAAGCTGAGCAACAAGGGCGGCCGCGGCTGCGGGCAGATTTGAACCGTTCGATTGGCTGTCCGGAAGTTTCTGACCGTTTAGTTGACTCCCGGGCAGATCTTGACCGTCCAATTGGCTCTCTGGCAGGCCTAGTCGAGTATTTGACGCGGAGAGTATGCTTGCATCGTTTGGGCCCAACTCAACAACCTTCTCGACAGTTCCACCTCCTTCCGTAGGCTGAGGGCTGGTTACACCAGCGGTTTTGCTAGAGTCAGACGGGCTGCGAGAGGGGAGCTCGGGGGTGGTAAGAATAGGCTCCAGCTGCAGCTCGGGGTGTGCGGTCAGGAAGGGACAGCGGGTATTGGCACAGGCCTGGCATACCAGCTCGTCGAAGCTGGCCTCGTCGTTCTCGTTCGGAACCTGCACAAGGATTCGGCAAAAGTTAGTAAAGTCAGCGTCAGACTGAGGGTATTCGTCCAATCCTGATGGTCCGGAAAGCTTGCCTCAAAGTGGCGATCTGGACACTGGACAACAGAGACACGGCATCCACTGGCTCCGGCTGGTGAAAAAAGTGCGAGGGTCGGCCAAAGCTTCGCCAGAGCGATTCGACGGCTCCGTATAACGCATGTCATCTGCTATCAAAACTGAAGCAAAGGAGCTGATTTCGAGACATTCGCTTTTGTAAGGCACTGGTAGCGCTGGACACCGTGGTCGAGCGGGGCGTAAAACCTTCAATACATGACCTCGACAATTGAAAAGCGGCCCTGTCTGTACTCGGCACTCGTACAGGTTTTCGGCAGACGAGCTTGGTTCTCAGGTTATCTCAAGAATCCTGCTGCCACGAATGTTTTGACACAATTCGAGGTGGCTGCAACTGGAAAAAGGTATCTGGAGCTTGTTTTCGGCAGATATAGAGCAGGGTTATTCTGCTATCAAAAATACAAATGCCTCAAGCAGACAGGTGCCAGACGCCGAAACTTCAGTGGATGACTCTGTCACTAACAGAGCACCAGAGGATGAGCGTTTCTTTTTACATACTTCGCTTTCTACTGCCTAACTGCTCGTCGGCTGCTTTGATGGAATGCTTCTGTCAACTTTACATCCATTCAACTCATCGCCCTGGCCTCATGACGGAGGAGCCAAAGGAAAAGAGAACGAAGAGTGGTTTGAAGTCCGTATCCCACCTCTTCCTCGTCCCTCAAGCCGAGGTGATCCTCATGTAGCCAGTCCTCGCAGACCACACACTGAAACATCGTCTCCCCCTCTTCGTCTCTCTCGGGGTCTGGATACGGGCGGTGGCACGTGCAGTATAGCCCAGTAAAGTTTTGGTTGTACAAGTTGCGCTCGTTGATGGGATCTTTGTCCGGCGCCAGCTTGCAGGCAAGGCCCGGGAACTTTGAGTTGCCGCAATCGCACCGGAAGCCGCGCTTCGTGTAGATTTCCAGCACCTGGCAAACATTCCGAAGTGACAGGGCGGTTGGACTTCAAAGATGGAGTAAGAAGGTAGTAAATCTGCGTGGGCAACCGCACTGGGTTGGAACCACAGACCTCGCAGTGGATTAGATGGAGAAAGAACTGGGGATGTCACTTTGAAGAGGATTGGGGATGCATTCAACAGGCAGCTTGTTGTCTGGGGATTCAAAACCAAGAGGTATTAAAAGGAAGTGGAATTGCAATGGAGTGCTGCATAGCGCATGAAGTAGGTTGCGACTAGAAATACAAGGGGGATGTCGCAAGTCGTTTGAAAACTAGAATACCGTTTCTGACCCGTTGCTGTGAAACTTGGAATCAACCGAGCTTCCAAGTTGGATCAATGAAAATATCGGGTTCGCATTGAAACAGATGGCTGTAGGCAGAAGACAGACCTTCTAGCAGCACCACCTTGGTCAACAAATAAGAAGCTCAAGATTCATCAAGCATATACCACACAGCATGGATGGAAGTGAGTACCTTCAAACTAGGATATGCGGGATTTCTTAGCAGTACGCTCACTTCCTGCAAGGGCAGAGGGGGGAATGCAGCGGCTAACCTCATGGCCATCGTGGCAATTGATGGAGCACGCCAAGCAGAAGCCTGCTCCTCCTTGCGGGGTGCAAGTGACGCAGGCAAAGACTGCCTGGCGTGTGACGTAGCCCTTGGCGTATGTGCACTCTTTGCCGTCGTCGCCCCCCAAAACAAGGTTCGCCTCTTCTTCCTGCAGAAGAGTGACGCTTCTATCTGTGGTGTGATTTGCCTGCCAGTAGACATTTCTACCAGAGATCCACACAATCAAGGACGAAAATTTGTCCATAAAAGCGCTCAAAGCAGTGAGACATTGAAACAAATTGAAACACTTGGCAAGCTTGCCCACCTGAGCAGCCACTACTCTCTCGTATTCCTCAGCTGTGATGCCCTGGTCCGTGGTCTCTCCATTGGTGCTCATCGTGTAACCTCCACCCCCCCCCCTGAACAATCATCCAAGTCAGGATTTGGTGAGGTTCTCATGTGCTTCTCCAAACTACTGAAATGTTTGTGATTGCCTAGGATAATTGTATACTGTCGAACAATCTCGCTGAGGGCACAACTTCTTGATTTGAAAGTTTCATTCGGAAGGTGCTCTTTCACCTTCCTCCAAATTACTGACATGTTGCTGACAATGCATCCAGGATAATATCATGATTGATTACTGCAAAGTACCTCACAAAGTCCTGCAAATACCTGGCAGTGTTGCTGACGCTCAGGTCTAGACCAGAACTGGCCCACTAACGAGGGGCGCCGCCTGCAGTCTTGTTTGTCCCTGACTTCTTCAGGGCACTGAACGAAGGCCACCAAAACACTTGTGATACCTAAACCCTCTGCAGGACGTCAAATGGTGCGCCAATGTCAAGCAACGATGATGGAACACCGTATCTGAGCTTGGGAAGCGCAAGGGAAAAGCCAAATGGAGTGGGCGCAACTGTCAAGATTGCATTTGCAGCATGGGACAATATTCAATGGGAGATGTTTGCTGTCCAAGGCCAGCTGTTTCAAGCAGTGGCAGTGGCAGTGTTTGGAGCAATTTGGAGCGAAAACTCGGCAAGTGTAACGGGGATCGACGGCAATGTTTCGAACACGTAATGTGCATGGTAGAGACATGGAGGAGGTCGAAGGCCTGGTGCGGCCCAATTTGGCCGAAGAGGAGGACGGGACCAGCTAGGCCCTGCAGTGCTGCAGCTGCATTCAGCATTGCCCACATGAGCTGCTGCCATTGTTGGAGACGTGCTCTAGAACCGAAGAAGTCCTGTCTTCCTGCCAGGGTGTGAGATTGTAAAAGACAACGCGCAGCTAGGAAGCGTGGGGGGCCAAGTTTCTTATGGTTTTAAGGTTGGACGAGGACTTCTGATTTGCCCGCTTCGAAGTTGCCAGCAGCCAGGCCATCGGTGAAAGAGCTGACACAGAGCCGGTTAAGGACTGCAGGCGGATGCTTTCTGGCCCAAAGGCACGTAACCTTGACAGAATCTTTTTCGAGGGTTTCCTTCTTGAAGGCGTTTCGCAAGTGTCGATCTCCTTCCTGGTGGAGAGGTCTTGCAGCAATGGCTGCATGACCAGCTGATCTTGACGAGTACACTCCAGCTGCTTTCGCCTACTTTCTGCAGAAGCTTGACGCTGGACTTTCTTTCAAAGAGTTTGCTTCCTGAGAACGCTAAACGTTTACCCCCAGGCAAATCCAATCCGTGCATGGCATTGCCCAGGTAGGCATCTTCTCTAAAACTCAGGAAATCCTGATTTGCAGCCCGCCACCTCATTATCTTAGTTGGTCTGGCTTGACTTCCTTTCCTAGTTGTTGCAGAAACCTTTGCAGAACATATACAGTCGGCAAGCGTCAAAGAAAGAAAGCACTCTGTGTGACCACCGACAGGCAACAACAGCCAAGCCCATACGATCCTGGTAAGAAGCTCACAGGTGAGTTTCTAGAATGATAGCGGGCCGCTTGCCACCATGGCAAACAAAGGGTCAGAACCCCAAAGGCAATCTGCTGAAAGGGACCAAATCAGTCATCGAAAGCAAAGTCCAAGTGACAAACAGGTTCATTACAGAAACAGAGAAAGGGTGGAAATCTTAGGACAGGGGGGTCTGAGAAGTCCTGGTCCACACACCCTCGGCAGTGGTCTCGCACAACATGTGCATGCTGCTATTAGTAAGCAGAAAGAATCGACGCAGACGGCAATCGCAGCAGGTGGTGGAGCGAGGGCAAGCAATCCAAAGCCAGAGCACCGGCAAAAAGCGGGCGAGACTGGCGCTAAGATAATAGAAGCAAGTAAAGTGGACTTCAAAAGGGGCAGTCTAGCGGAAGGGAATCAGGCCATTGTGGGGCTGGGCCAAGGGATTCAGCAATCTGTAAAGAGGGGAGGGGAACACGGCCAGCTCCGTCAGGACGCGTCTGGGAGTCCGGAAGCAGAAGTGGGGCAGGAGGGACCTAGAGCGGGGACTGGTACAAACGAGGCAGAGGCAGAACCTGCAGATGATGGTAAGTGCAGCCTTTGGACTACTGCTTTGACTTTCTGCGCAGGATTGATGTAAAGCGTTTCGGGCCAGCGATGGTGAACGCCAAGCCCTGAAGACAAGCACAGTCGAGGGATTGTGGACACCTGTTTGCTTCAATAGCACTTGGGTCAAAAAAGTGTCTCGTTGAGACCTGTTCCTATCGCGGTTGTCTTCTTGACTGAGGAGTACTGCCTGAAGGTGGAAAGATAATCTGAACAGCTGGATTTGTTCCTCAGTGTTCGTTGAAAGAATCATGATTGCTCATTCTTGACATAGTCACAGACATACGTGATACACTCTTCAGCTCTTTGTGGTGGAGGGGTAGAAAGCAAAAGGGCTGATAAGGGTGGGGGATGCCCTGTCCGTCAAATGAGAAGCTAAGAACACCCCATCAAATGTGCCTACGTAACTGCGCCATGTTTGACATCGCGTCATACTACCTCTGCAGTGCCAGACGTCAAGAAGCTGGAGTTCGTGCGCAACCTGCTGAGCAAGGTGGAAGAGTGGAAGGCTGACAACCCTGGCAAGTCTCTCAAAGCCGATCAGCAGATTAAGCTGGGAGAGTGGCTCAAGCGGGAGCACTCGCTCCTCCGCCGCCTCGACATGCTGCCGTCCTCGCTGCAGCAGAACGGAACTGGGAAGGTGGCAGGGCCACAGGTTGTCAGCACTCCTCGTGCGACTGGCGCTCCAGAGTTTGCCAAACAGTCGCCCCGTGTGCAAGCCTCTTCAAACCTGGCGGCACCCACCTCTAGTTCACCGAAGCAGCCACACGGCACTCTTCCAGCGAGAGTGGACCCCTCTGAAGCGAGCCCTAAGCAGGTCTTCACGAGCAGGCAGCCTGATCACGCGAAGGCTGCTTCCACGAAGTCTGCGACTTCTTCGGCATCGCCCCAACTATCCAAGCCCCAAACCGCTAAGCCTCAGGCGCCCCGCTCACTGCTCCAGTCTGGCGCTTCTGCATACTCCCCCACGAAGAAAGCTGACCCAGTCTCCCAGCAGTCTCTTTCCGCAAGGAAGATCGAAAGTGCCCCGCCCCCGCTGACCATGCCTCCTGTTCGCAGCGCGCCGCAGCCAATGGCGCTGACCAGTCCAACTCCCCAGCCCAGGATCTCCCTCTCAAGCAACGCGACCCCTGCAAAAGCCCCGCAGTCCTTCGCCCCGAAATCTGACGGTCTAAAGGTTTCAGAGGTTCCTCAGGAGGACGGTCAAGCGTCTCGGACAAAGGTCGTCGGAGGTGGCGGCCCCTGGGCGGTTCTTGGCTTAGACGACGACCTGGGCGTGTCGGAAGCGCTGCGCCTCTCACAAGCCCTTCAAGTGCGGGACAGCGACCCTTTTCTTGAGGCCGAGCGGCCTCCTCTGGCAACGGAACGGAAGCCGGCGGAGGTCTCCAAGAAGGCCGGGCAGCCAGGAGCAGCTCATCAGGTTGCGACACTTTCCGGGCGGAAGGAGGTGCTTGGCACGAGCAACGGGCTGGGGGCAAGGGTGGACGACGTGAAGGCCAGGCTGGACGCACTTGCGGAGCGGAAGGGTCTCCGGTGGGTTCAGGAGGGCGGTAAAGTGGCGGTGGAGGTCAGGGAGCGGAAAGGTGGGGGCATGCCGGGGGAAAAGTCGGCTGCCTCAGATGAGGGTGTGAAAGAGCGGAGCGCGGCGAAGGGAACGGGTTGTCAAGTTGGTGCGGAAGGATTCAAGCCACAGAGCAGCTTGGAGGTGAGGATGCTTGTTGGCTCAGGGGGGACTGGGTCGATTCCTGAACCCCACGAGAAGGAGCCAAAGCAGAGCAGTTTGGAGGAAGGAAGGGTCGGTCTGGAAGAGAACGGGCCAGGGAGGGCTGGCAAAGCTCTCTTGGTTGAACCAGCGGGGCTTACTCGAAGCGTGGAGAAGAACGGCGAAGTTTTGACGGGTGTGGCAACGAGTCCCTCGAAGGGCACGGCAGTTGCGCTGGGCATTGAAGCGTGGGGCGGGCAGCGTCACTTCATCTTGCAAGCAGCGAACTGTGTCTCCTCAGTTCCGGAAAGAAAGGACGCCGATGACGGGGCTGCAGGAGATTCTCCCGACTCGAGCAAGGAAAACCGTGGGGAAAGAATTGTCTCGACGCCTGGGACAGGTGGTGCTTCCCCCGGTCCCTCGGAGAAAGGACAAAAACGGGGCGGAAAAGTGGCCAAGGGGGGTGACGATGTAAAGGGGCTTGTGCAGTGTGACGAGTGCGGAAAGCTCCGGATCCTGAGGCGGGAGGGCCTTGCCTTGCGGGAGGAGCTCAATGCCAGGGACTGGTGGACGTGCGACATGGCGGGGGGCGGGGCATCGTGCGAAGACCCCGAGGATGCGGGCGTCGATGCGCTCAACTTCTTGAAGCCGAAAGATGGAGGGGCAGGCGGAGCGAAGAGGAAACTCGGGGCGTTTGGTGATGAGAACGATGGGAATATCGGAGACGGGTTTAAGGCTGGCTCCGTCAAGAAGATCAAGCTGCTGTTGAGCCCTCAGAAGAAGCCCAAGCTCGAGTCGAAGAAGGGCAAGAGCCCAGTGAAGCACAAGACCCTGGTTGTGAAGCACGATAGCAAGAGTGAGCGGCAGGAGGGTGGGCTCGGAAAGGCAAGCTCTGATCCAAGCAAGGTAAAAGCAGCGGCAGCAGAGGAGAGCGCGAGTGAGGGAGGTGTCCCTAGAGGCGACTCGGAGCAGCATGCTGGGAGCTACTTTGTGCCGGATGGTTTCACTCTCATCTTCACGGCTCGAAACACGGAGAAGTCGGTTGCCATCAACGCTCCAGGCGATCTGTGAGTGACTTCCCTCCAAGTCTGCTGCCCCTGATTCCCCTACGGAATGAAGTACTTATGTCTGTCAGCGACTGCAGAACCTGGGAGGACTCAAGACTCTGTAATTTGCAGTTCCTTTCGAGGCATAGAATCTGCTTCAGGTCGCTTTCTTGTCCGACTCAAACCGGCATATACCTGGAAAGCGGCCCTTTTAGCGTTGTGCTTTAGAGACCCACCCGTTGTGTACAAGTGGTTCTTAAGGGGATGCGACCCCATGTTGAAATGGGAATGGCACCGATAAGTTTGTCCTTAAGCACATTGCTTCGATGCACGTTGGTTTGAAGATTTCGTGGAGAGGTTTTCTGCATTTGTTTCCCCACCAAAGAAGAGTCCCGCCGCTCAAATTAATCATGGGTTATGCCAACCAAAGCCTACGCTCCTGGATCGGTCTAGTGCAGAGAAGGCATCACAAATGATCGAACTAAGCGTCCATGCTCTTGTTATCACGAAGCAACGCCTAAAGTCAGTAATTTCTGGTTGTGCAGGCGCTATAACATGCCCCCTGGTTGTGAGTTGCCCGTGGATGCAAAGGGGAGGAAGCTCACATACTTGCAGTCGAACATAAAGGTGGAAGAGTAAGTTTTTGCACCCCAATACACCTTCGAACTTGAGTAGAACTCAGCACAGATCGACGGAGGTCCTCCATGATGAATATCACGACTGTGGAGTCTTCTTATTGCTCTCTCTTTCGAACGACTTGTGTGTTTGTCAGGTTTCCGTGAATTTCGACGTTCATTTAAAAGTAGACAGATCATCACCTCATGAAGCAATTTACCCAACCTCTGCATGCGTAGACCAAGTACCACCATAAGGTCGCACTCACGTCTTGCTTCTGTGCCCTTCTTAGCGACTTGCTCGGTTGGTCACTGAGTTGCATGATATGGCCTACTTATGCCAGTACAGCTCTAGCACATGTGAGAAAGCACGGTTGTTCGCAGTTCATTTTGATTGATTGGGTGGGCCAAAAGATTGTTCGTCGCTGACAAGAAAGTATGCAAGCACGCAATGCCCTCACCTGCACCGTTTGAACAACTTGCCAGCGAATCCGAGTTCTGCATTGGAGGTCGACAGGGAGCATTTAAATGACTGCCGCCTGACGAAGGCTTGGGGTCGAAGTTGGGTGCGGCCCCCATCGATCGACGATGACAACCTTTTTTGCTGACTCCAGTAGCGTGCCTCCAGGCCTTAGATGTTTGTTCTATTTATAGCTTCCTCTCTCTTCCCCTTATTTTTTGTACCATTCACAGGAGTAGAGCAAGCAACCATTAGACCAAAGAGACTGACATCCTAGCTGCATCATTGATGACTTCTTGACCAGGGGTTCGACCGGGGGTTCTTCCTGACGGAGCAGGTGCTGGCTGACCGAGCTAAACTTTGCCGACTTCCATGTCAAATTCCCTATCATGATTTCCATGTTCCTTTTCTCTGTAGGTTTCTCTCCCTCAATCAGCACCACCCACTTGTGAAAGGGCTTTCTACAAACGACTTCTTCTTCTCGGGCCGAAAGTTTGAATCAATGCTGGTGGAAGCCTACGGTGCTGGAGCACAGAGAGACAAGTGGGTATTCAAGAACGACGGTGGAGTTATGGAGGTTACCAGGGCCGGCCAAGTTGTGCCTCCAAAGAAGTTGTACTTACCACCCGAGACAACTACTAAAAAGGGAGTCTCTAGTCCGGCTAAGAAGCGGAAAGGGCTTGAGCGAGAAACGGAGAAAGGCGTCAAAAAGCTTAAGATTGGACTGTCTTCGAGATTCTCAAAACCGCTCTCAAATGGGGTGGGGCTTTCCAAAAGAGGAGGACAGGGCGCGATCATAGCGGCTCAGGATGGTGAGGACGCAAAGAAGAAAGAGCCCCGATCGGAGGGTGTCCCCAAGCTTCAAAAAAGCTCTCGGAAAGTCATAGGCGGCGAAGATTCATCGCGTCTGCCAACTCTACCGGACGTACACGAGCATGGGAAATCCGCAGACGCAAGTGAAAAAGAAGCTTGTCCCAAGGAAGTCACGAACTTCAGCGTGGAGGATGTCGAAGGAAACATGCAACCTGTGGACCAACTCAACCTCGTCCAAGAGGACGCTGAGGGAAAGCTGAAACGGTTGGTCTTGGTTGGAAAAGCACAGGACGGAGGGGACGTGGAGAAGTATGTCTACAGGTGGAAAGTTAGTGTTGAGCCTTTTGGCATTGCGGTGAAGACGAAGAAAGCTGGTGAATGGTAAGTTTTGCCACTTCGGTTTTTGCAACTCAAGGGAACAGGTTTGGAAGTGCATAGGGTTGTTGAATCCGGTTTATCGTTTTTCAACTGGTGTTGATGTTGCGCTTGTTGATCGAAATCCTCTTTCAATACAGACCGTTTGCCAACATTGGACTGTCTCGAAGCAAGGCATTTGTCCAAATCGTTGTCAATGCTCGGCAGTATAGTGTGAGAGGATTTGGACATCGAATGTTCAATCGACACATCCAGAGAATCACTTTGAAATATTTAAGACGTTTATTGGTGTTACCGGGCGTGGCAATTCACGTAGCTTGCACTACCAGACGTTCCTTTTGCGGGTTGTCTGCTGAGAGCATTTGAAGGCAGGAAAGCTTCGCTTATGGGAACTTCGAGAAGGCCTTCCCGGAACACGGATCATAGACAAATTACTCACAACGTTTACGTCCTACCAGGGTTTTCTTGGACGTGGAGAAGGCTGAAAGCAACTATGGCCTTATCCTCGCGCCTTTGAAGCAGAGGCTAGCTCTACTACGGCCTCTGCTAGCCATCAAGACACTTGCTTGGACCGATGTCAAGAGCACCATGCTAAGGAGCCTCGATGCCGAGGCCGACCTTCTGTTCCTCCGGACATGGCTGGGAAAATTGAGGTCCGACAAGAACGAGGTATGGCAAGGCTCCGGTTTTGCAATTATAGGAGGCACTGAAGCTCGAAGACTGCAATGAGTGCTAAATTAGTTTGGATTTCATTTCTGTTGGCATGACCTTCTATGGCCCAGTTGGGTTTTCATGACCCAGCAAGCCTAGCGAGTAGACGAGCAACCAGTTAATTGACTGGTTGCGTTCAAAGTTGGCAGGTTTGGTCTCCATAGTTTTCGAAAAGAGGAAGCAACCACGCAGTGTGTAGGCCAATGTAATGCAAGTGGCATTAGATGACATGGGGAGAAAATTGGTTGTTGTGCCTATGAAGAAGGTGTACCCTCCGGTATTCTTGTGGAGATTTATCGAATCAGGATGAAGCATCGTTCGGTTGAGAGCAAGGTTGCTTGTCATTCGTCATGGAAGCGAAGTGAATTGGACACAACTTCTCTTTGTTAAAATGTAACCGGGCCTAAGCATTTCATAGAGTAGTGCAGCTGGCATCCCACCTTTTACTCTCGACGAAATCACGAGGCCAAACCTTCGGAAGCTTTGGACCAATTCTTCCGATTGCAACTTGGTCAACCTACTTATGTGGGTTTGAAGAGGGCAGTAGTTCCCCTATAAGAAGACGTCGTTGGAGCCTGCTAAGGGCCGTTGTGCAGGGGGCAACCTAAGAACAGTCGCTAGGTAAACAGCAACCCACGCCGTTTATTTTGTAAGCATGATGTCCTCAAACTCCTCAATCCTCTACGCAGGTATCCTTGGCTATGGATGGCTACAAGGGGTACTTGGAGGCGATGCCTCTTGACATCCTTGACCCCACGGACGATGCCTATGTTGAGACGACGTCGCTTGACACTCCCTTCAACGAAGACCAAGTAGCCGTGAATGAAGTCACCGCAGAGGACGAGGAAGTTGCGCGCACGTTTTTAGAGGAGCCGCAGGAGGCGACTACTCTTGGGGACTTCGTGTGCGCCATCTGCGATGATGGCGGTGGCGACGTGCTTCTTGTGTGAGCATGCCTCGTTTGAGCTTAATCTTTCCTCATTCAAACAGATTTTGATCCCCTCTGTGTCCTTAGTCGTGATTTTGTGAATCTGGGATCGAGTCTGATCTTCATCATGGCCTCATCCTCACCAGCAAATCACGAACTTTGGTACGATGGCCGACGCGCTATCTTTGTAATCCAATTTTCAGCTGATAGTAACCAGGCCAAGAGGAAGATTTGGGTTTCGACTATCAAGGTTGCAAGTTGTGGCGTCATTCCAAGAGAGGCAGTTCGGACCGTTCAAATCATTGACGTTGATCTAAAAGAAGGTGGTGAGAAGGAAGCCGCTTGTTCCCCGACCAATTCGGGATGGTGCGTTTTTGCAGCTTTCGGAGAAGAATGGATGATACTGAACTTCATTGTGAGGGCTTTCGTTTTGATGCTGCAAGTTCGGCCCCTCCTTCTCTTTGCTCGTTCTAGTTTCAGCAAAAGCAACTGCTTCCAAGCTCTTGACAACACAAGCAGGAAATGTTTTTGTCGCTATTGATGCATTTTGTCTCTTGGTGACTCGTTATGACTTTTCAAAAAAATGACATCCTTGGTCAGATCCTTGTTGGTCCTTAAGGCAAAGCAGGAGTGCTATGATTACATATGCTTTGGAATCAAAGATCGGGGAATAGTTTTAATTGATCGTGAGCGATGATGCTTCTTGTTTGCAGATGCGATGGGGAGTGCATGCGATCCTTTCATCCCCGACGGAAGGATGGCAAGGATAGCAACTGTGAAAGTCTTGGGATGTCGGAGAAGGAAGTGAAGGTTAGTCCAAGGTTTCACTTTTGAGATAGAAGGTGTGGCATCCGGATTCGAGCAAAGCTCTCAATATTGAATGTGTCTCGGAATTTCCCGCCATCTGAAAGGGTTCTGGCCAGTGAGAGACATGATTGCCGACCAAACCTTCACATAGGACAAATAGAGGGCGCGACTCAAGACGCATTACATCCGACTTGGCTCGAGCCAAAAGCTTCTTCGTGTGTGAATAGCGTGTGTTGCTTGTCTTTGGAAAGGTGTCCATCTTCTCATCAAAACAGATCGCGCCTTTTCAGGACCCTCTATCGATGGGGGCGATGGTAGCAAAAACTTTGTTTGGTAGCGGAAAAGCTCAAGGCGGTTCTGTGTCTAATGTTTTGCCTCTAGAATGCTGCTGCACCTTGACCTTGTTTCACTGCCTTGCAGATGTACCTGGGGGACGACGTGCCGTTTCTGTGCCCCAATTGCAAGGCATTCCAACACCAGTGTTACATCTGTGGCAAGTTAGGGGACTCCGACAAGCAGAATTCGGCCCGTGAGGTAAGATCAAATTTCGAATCCGAAGGATGGGTCCCACACTTCTTTTGACCTACCTGAAGTTTTGAACCGCTTTTGGAAGATGCGAGGTTTGAAAACCTTGGTGGATTCGCAAGTGACGTAGATATCATTGTGGCTCTGCTGTCGGGTTTCCCTGTAAGTCCTTACGGGGTGGAAGGTTGAGCATCGTTTAAAGCTGGCAGTTCTTCAATCAATTCGAAGCTTTGTGCCAAAAAAACCGGAAACGCGTTCGCTCTTCCTCCAGATTATTGCAATCCTTGACGTGTGGTGTCTGTCATTGCCGGTCTTGCACCGTTGTCCCAATGCACATGAAGCTGTTTCTGAGGACTTTGAACCATATGTTTAGACATTGTGGCTCTGATTTCAGTACGTCTTTGTACCTTGTGTGACTATGGCTCCTGGTCTGCAAAATAATGTCCGATTTTCACCATCTTTTTCAGGGCAGGAGTTTCGTCAAAGCTAAGCTGAGCAACCACGTGAGTCTCTCTTGAGAGCAGCCATTTCGACCACACCAAGCTTAAAAGTAGGACCCAATTGAATGTTACGTACCTTTCTGACGTGTGACAACTTCTTGACGGTCCCGAGGTTTTTTTCCGGCAGGAGTACAAGTGCGAAGTCGCGGGCTGCGGGCACTTCTACCACCCAAACTGCGTGGCCCGGTACGAGCTGCCCGGCGGCACGCTGGAAGAGATCGAGGATCGTGAGGCGGCGATCCAGGACAGCACGGGGTTCTTCCAGTGCCCCCTCCACACGTGCGACGTCTGCAAAGGCGCTGAGGAAGATCTGGAGCAGGACGGTGGAGCGCTGGTCCGCTGCCGGCGATGCCCGGTGGCTTACCATGTCAAGTGCCTGCCGAGGTAATCACCGTCGAGACGAAAATACACTCTTTTTTTTGCGGACTTCGCTGGAATTACAGAGTTTGTGAGTTTCGAAGAATGAAGAAGAGGTGCGGCAGGGGGCTCTCGCGTATGGATGTCTGAATACTCAGTGATGTTGCATTGTTTCTCTGGGTTTCCATGTCGACGGTACCCCTTTGATCGGATTGCGTGAACCGTCATCGAAAAGAAGGTGTCATGTTTTCTTCCGTGTCAATGGGAACACTTTTGTTGGAGTGCGTGAGCAGTCAACGAAAGTGATTGTTTGATTCCGACGCTCCTTGCAGTGACCTTCCGACATCGGGCGATGATGGGGAGTTTCAGAGAGCCTGGGGACCTGGCGTCGAAGACGTCGAGCATCCCATTGAACAGCGCCTGTGCTACTGCCGGTATGTCAAAGAGGTTTCTTGACTGGTCTTGAATCAGCACTCATCGAGTAAGATCTGATGCACCTTAATTCTACGAGCGAGCCTGGCCATTTACAAATGACCGTTAAAGTGGCGCAATCTGTCGGTGAAGGTCTTGTACTCAGTCCGGCTTTCAAAGCATAGCTACCTTGCTGTCCTGCTGTTCAACGTTCGGCTTCTTTTCTATCTACTTGGATTTTGCAAACCGCGCGAGGATCATGTCGCAGCTGGCGGGACTTTTCGGACTTAAAATCCGCTCTCCGTGTTTTTCTGCTGAGGCCTTCCACGTCCTTTCTTTTGCAGGAAGCACTCCATCGACAAGACTCTCCTCACGCCCAAGCGGAACCACCTCAAACTCAAGCCCCGAAACCGCGCGCCGCTGGCCATCGAGGTCCCGAAGCGGACAGTCGCGTCCCCTGGTCGGACGCCCCTCGCCGACTCCGCTCCAGAAACCCCTAAACCCTCCCCTAGCAAAGCGCTGACCCCTAGTAGACCGTCAGCGTCCGACCCCGACCTAGCGGTAGCACCGACACCCTCCGCGAAGACCCCTCCATCGGTTTCCGAAGGACTCCCTGACGCAATTCCCCCTCCAACACCAATAAGGTCGGCTGCCAAATCCGAAGTCTTGGCTCCTTCAGCGGAAGAAGCTGAGGAAGAGCGGCAGCCTTCAAATATTTTGGAAGTTGCGTCGGCAGCAGGGGACGCGTCACAGCCGGCGTCCGTCAAGACCTTGGGGGTCGAGGACGAACTTCCCCCTCCCGAAGAAGTTCCTCCTGCCCTGGAGGCAGCGGAGGGACTGGAAGTCATTGCAGCGGTCGAGGTCGATGAGGGACCACCGCTGGAGGTAAAACACTCTGTTACTCGTTCTGGTGGCGCCACAAGTGTTGTAAGTCGACAAGTCGGTTGAAAGATATGTTGAAGATTTTGCCTCGTCGAGGGCCGGGGTTTGAAGCGATTCTGTGGCTGTCGGGTTCTTGGACGCAGCCAGAGTTTAGAAACGGTGCATAGTCTGGTCGCTTCAACCGTGCTGGTCGTGTTCGTATCCGCAAATCCGGTATCGTGTTCAGTGGCAGCACGTTTGTGCGTCTGGGTGTGGACTTTCTCGTGTCATCCAATCATGCTCGATCCAGGATTGCCTCGGGTTGGGCTCGAGTCGGAATTGAGATCCAAGATGAGATTTTGAGCTGCAAGCGCTTGTCTCTGCAGACTCAGGTGGCGGAAGCCGACGACGAAGTCGGCGAAATCGTGTGGGAGGGGCTGCCCAACGGCGAGCTCGAAGACGTCACGTCGCCTGAGGCCCTCGAGGTCATCGCGAAGCAGTGAGTGCTCTGAGTCTCATCAGATTGTAAGTTGCCGTACCGTTTGCTTGCCCGGGGTAGATTGGTTGGCGACGTAGAATGTGAAGTTAGGGCTCGGTAGAAAGCCTTTTCCGAAAGACCTGATTGTCAAGTGCTGACTTCAAAGCAGATCGATTGTTGGAACTCCTCTTAGCACCGCAATGTTTGAGTCGGCGAAACGCGTACCAACAGATTTACCTCGTTCTTTGCCAAGGCTGATGGCGCCAGTCGCTTTGTTTGGCAGTTTGGGCGAACAGATCGAGCAGGCGGAGAAGGCGATTGCCATGAGTCAGGTCCGGGGGGTTCTGGTGACGCCCAGCATCTACAGCGCCCAGGGGGACACGCGCTCGCGCATCATGCCCAAGTCGCGGCTCGAGCCCATCTGCAACGTAAGGCGGCTGTCCTGCGCTCTGCCACATGCTTTTTGCTGCTTTTCTGGTCGTCTCCTTGTTCAGATATCGGTGAAATATGGGCTTTCTGGTACTAGAAAAGAACTCCCGGGGGTCATAAGTTCGGCAATACACTGTTCCGTTCGCCCGACTGTGTTGGCGGTCGCTTGTCAAAGACGCTGGTGTTTGTGACTGTTGCGGGGTGGCGGTCTTACTACCGACGGAGATGTCTGCAGTGTGGATGCAGTCTCCGGCTTCACTGCATTGACTGCACAATCTGGACGGGTTCCATAAGCCCTAATGGACACCAACGCTTGGTTCGCGTGCAGGCGATTGAGAAGGCGAAAGCGGCAGTCCGGAGCGGGAACGCGGAAACAGCTAGGCGCATCTGTCAACAGGGCATCCCTGGGGGGGAGCGTCAGATTGACGACATGAGGCGGCTGGAGGTGAGCCAGAACGACCGTCTCTTTCCCGATTGTGGCAATTCCTGACCATTTTTGGGCAGGCAGCGACAGGAAAAGGCATCGTGTCATTGTGCAGACGCTTCCTTGGCAAATACGCGCCGCGTCGAAACTCGGACGTCTGGCTACTTGTGCAATCGGCTACTAGGCGCCCTTCCAAACCACAAGTCTACGTGGTCAAGGCTAATGCTTTAGCAGCGCAACGAAGTCGAGACGACGTGCTTTTCTATCTTGCTTAAGATGTAGAAATGTACTAATGTACCTAATGAAAAAAAAAAAAACTTTTCGAAATAGCTACGTTCCGTTGTTTTTTTCACGTAACGTAGCCCTTTTTTATGAAGTATCAAATAGTGTTCATTTGGTTCATTTACACTGGAAATCATGTACAATAAATGGGGGATTGACTGACAAGATGACTCAATGAAAAGAGAATTCTATTAATAACCTATTGTAGTGACCTTCGGAAGTATCTGAAGCGGACAGAAAGACAATCTGCGAAGAAAGCTTCCCTATCGACGGATTCGACATGGTTTATCCTTCCTTTCTGGCCAGGCTGAGTAGGTATTGCCTTCCCTCCGAAAAGCAGAAGACCTACCAGTAAGACTCTCATCGCGGACTCCCTACGTCGGCTCTCACGTTTTGTATGTCTGACAGAAGTCCTGAAACCTGCTGCCTACATCCTAGCCTCCAAATACTTCTCCTCCAAACCCTTCTACGCTGTAGACAAGGAACCCTACTAGGTTCCGGCCAGATTTACCCACTGCTTCCTCGCAGCTTCCCAATCTCCGAACCTCAATCTGACCCGCGTCCTTTTGCTTGTATGTTGCAGTCGGTGATGCGGGTTTACCTCGCGCCGTTCCTCCACGGGAGTCGGTACACCTCGTTCGGGCGCCATTTCACACACCCCGACAAGCTGCGGGAGGTCGTCGAGCGGCTGCACCCTTACATCGACGACGGGGACGTGGTAAGCGCTGAGGAGCGGTCCTTAACTCCGTTTCATGTGCTGTGTTCTTATTCTGCCCTTGGGCTTTGTCAGGTTTGATTCGGCTCCCTGAGATGAAGGTCCGCCTTGAAATCCGACACCGGGGCTGAGAAGCCTCGTGACGGCTACTTTGGATCCGGTGGAATATTTCCTTGTGCGTGTGAACGAAGCTTGGTACACGTTTCTGACGCTTTTTCGGAAGGCTTTTCCTCCGAAATTGAAGCTTCCTGCTTATACGCCGGGGTATCATGATGGTCTGCCTTTTTGGTTCTGCGATTAGGAAACGAATCTCAAGGGCACAACCGCGACCTTCCTGGTTGTGTATCTTTGCGGTATCTCTTCTACATTGAAGTGTGCGATAGTGAGCCCCGTTGTCTGCTGGAGACAACCTGAATGAGGCATGAACCCAATCCTGACTCCAAACGGTCATGGAACTGGTTCTGCTTCTCTCTGCAGATTGTGGACTTTTGCTGTGGGGCGAACGACTTTTCGGTGATCCTGGCCCAAAAGCTGAACGAGCTCGGCAAGACCAACTGCGAGTACATCAACTTTGACCTCATCACAGCCAGGGTAAGGAGCGCGCTCGAGTTGCCGCTGTTTTTGGGTTCGGTTTTTTGAGTCATTAAATCGTGGATAGCCTTTTCGTAACTCCTTGTAGGGAGCCGTCGAGTGCAGGAAAGGTCTTTGTTAATGTTGAAAGCGGGATTGCCTATCCTTCGGAGCTTTTGCTTTTGCCAGAGCATGTGACTTAACATAGATTGTCGGCCGCCCGATGACCTCTGTTCCTTGCGAAGTATCGTCTCGCTCTGCTACTGTGACTTGGTTCTTACAAAGAAGAGTCGTCGGCCGACAACAATAAAACCATCCTTTTCCAAGCAGGAAAGGCCCCTCCGAGACGGTGGCAGAGTTGAAAGCACAGCATCTGCGGAATGTTGCACTCTCGACCGAAAATGTTTTAACACTTCTGACGAGCTCTTGGCCGAAAATGTTTCAACACTTCAGACGAACTCACTTGGACTCTGCAGAACGACTTCTTCTTCACCAAGAAAGACTGGTTCCACGTCACCCGGGCCGACTTGAACGTTGAGGGGCGGCGGCTAATCATCGGCCTGAACCCGCCGTTTGGGGTCAACGCCGCGCTGGCCAACAAGTTCATCGAGCACGCGCTGACGTGGAAGCCCAAGCTGATGATCCTCATCGTGCCACCTGTCACCAGGAGGTGGGTTACGCCGATCTAAGTTTACTGCGTTGAATTTCCACTAAGGCCGTCCGAATTTTGTTGCGTTTTGTCTATCCAGAAATAAAGTAGCCCAGAACTACGTCAACCACTTTCCTCACCCAACTTGACTTTCTCTCTTCAGTACCTGGAGAATCCAGCCGTGGGCTGAGACGAGTTCGCTCGCTGTCTGCTGCTATCTTTGGCAGCGCCTTTTCGGTTGTGCTGCAGGCAGAAAAGCAGTCTCTGCATAGGGAATCACAAGGCGGCTGAACGTTTTCTTCTTTCATCCTTGTACGTTCAAGTTCCTCGACATTTTTTCGTGCCTTGTACGGCGCAAAGAAGATCTAGGCCTAAATACACGCTCTGCTCGCGGTTCAAGTTCAACACTTTCTTCCTCTGACCGATGTTCACCTTTGACGTCGTCTGCAAATTGACTTCGTTCGTTTCGTCGTCAGTTGCTCTCCTATTCGCAATCGCACAACTTTATCCCCGTCTTCTTTTCTGATTACTGACTCGGCCTCTTTCCCGCAACCCCCTGGCCGGTTGAACCTCTGGGTGCTGGGGTTTCACCTGGGTTTTCCTCTTACTACCACCCGCGCCCATTGACTAGGATCTCGCAGTTGACTCGGTCCTTGCACCGCTTGTTCTTTCCATCCCCTCGGTAATTTGGACGTTGTTGGTACACCAGTGCAAAGTCTTGGGGAATTTTGCTCTTCCGCCCATCTGAACTCGTTCTTTAGACTTGTCGACTGTTTCTGGCTCTTGACTCACCCTTTCCCCGCAGGCTGGACGACTTCGAGTGCAGTCTGTGCTGAGAGTTACGTCCACGATGTCCGCGCTCGTCAGGAGACATGTAGACGGATCTACGCTCTCCTTGCAACCTGTCCCCTTACACTTTGGACGAATGCGGATGGAGTCTGTCCGTTTATCTTTCGAATGTGATCCCACTCCGCCATCACAGATGTCAGTGCCGATGACCTTTTGACCGACTCCACTAACATTGCCCCTGCAGGCTGGACGACTTTAGTTACAGTTTGTGCTGGGGTCTCATTCAAGGTTTCTACTCGTGTCAAAATATTCGCATGACTGAACACTTGTTTTCTTTCAACTCTTTCCCCTCAGGTCGGACGTCTTCATGTACAGGCTGTGCGCCGAATTTCCTTGAGTTGACACGCAGATATTGACTTGGCCGCTCAGATGATGGCGTTTCAAAACTGACTCTTGGTTTGACTCCAAACAACACTTCCCCCTCGCAGGTGGACGACTTCGGGTACAGTCTGTGCGTTGATCTTGCAAAGGTTTCCTCTCCGCGACACTCATAATTCCGTATCCTTGGTCTTGAACTGACTCTACCAATAAATTCCCTGCAGGCTGGACGACTTTGGGTACAGCCTGTGCTGGGAGGACCACGTGGTGGTGTCGGGGCGGTCCTTCTACCTGCCCGGCTCGCTCGATAAAGCAACGGAGGCTAACCTGGACCAGTGGAACAAGGTCACGCCGCCGCTGTACCTCTGGAGCCACAACGCCTTCTTCGACAAGCACATGCAAATTGCGCAGGCCAATGGGCATAACAGCATCTTCGACCCGTTGCAGGTAAGGTTCGGGTTCCTTGTGTGGACAGTCGATGTTCGATTGTTGGGGGTTACAGAAGTACGCCTCTGGTGCAGGGTCCTGGATTGGCTTGGGGGAGTTGCTGTGATCTAACTGCCGTTGACATTCTTCATGACAAGAGCGCTCCTCAGGGCAGATGTAAGACTAGGAAACCCTCATGACGACGCTGCTCTGAAACCCGCTTTCGGAAACGGACGAATCTCGTTGCTTCCAAAGGAGCCGTCACACTGCTCGCTTAAAAACGCGGCATCCGTTGACTTCTACTTTTCAAACGTAGCCGTTCGTCACTTTTTCCTCGATCGCACACCGCAATGACCCGCCTACTAGCCGCCGCCGCAAATGCTGGTTTTCTAAGCTACCCACCCTCCATTCACCACGGACTTTCCCATACGTTTCAACACTATCCTTCCTCTGGCTGACTCTCTTTCCGGTTTTCTCTGCCGCAGCCGCCCGCTCCAGGGACCAACCCCGCCTGGGAGCTGCAGCAGGCGCAGCAGCAGGCCTTCTTCCACCAGCAGCAAATGCAGGCGCTTCAGCCTCAGTGGGGGCCGTTCCCCGGCGTCCTCCAGCCCCCCCCCTTCGCTCCTGTGCCCGGCGCCCCCCGCCACCCGGCTTCCAACCGGGGGCTACGGAGGGCCGCAGTTCGAGCCGCCCCCCCTCAGTTGCCCGCCGGGGCGAACCCCCTCGAACTGCGCATGGCGGCGGACCAGGCGCGGGCGGCGGTGCAGGCGGAGACGGACGCGCAGCTGCAGGCGCTGCGGCGGACGCTGGATGACGCGCTGGCGGAGATTCAGCAGTGCCAGACCACCAGGTAAGAGCGAAGAGTCTTTACATGAGCGCGACGGTTCTTTTGTTCGAGTTGAGAACCGGGGTTGAGTCTTGAAGCGAGCTGGGAGCTGCTTTCGTCTCATCCCCGGGAACTTCGCTGCGCCTTCATTCCCGATTTACTTACTCATTTTCTGTGCGATATGAGTTCGGCGCAACATGTAAGTCCTTGTCGGCAGGTGCTGGGCCGCCTGCAAACCTCGCTTTCTCCTTGTCTGTACAGAGAAAGTTCTCCAAAAAGCTTGGCGTTCTGACAGGAAGTTGGAAGTTGTTCTCTGATGCGGAACCCCTTTGAGCGCTTCCCTAGCGACGAGACTAATCAGATGCAGCCCGGAAAGTACGTTAAACGCATGCAAAGTTTCGTATAAGTTCGCCTGCATCCAAAACGTCTTCGTCAGAGTCGACTAGCTGCTACACCGTCAATCAAGCCTCTTCTTGACCCGAACGTACGGTTGGTTGCAGGCAAGCCTGGCTGTTGCGCTTCTACGAGCTCAAGGCCGAGAACGCGCGGCTTAAGGCCGAGCTGGAAGAGCAGGGCGCGCGGATCCGGGGCTGTAAGGAGCGGAGCCAGGCGTATTTCAGCGAGGGAAACATTCCGTTGCAGATCCAGTGCGATGCAGAGTTGATCGGGCTGCAAAACCACTGGCACGCGGTGGAGAGCGAGATCAACGAATCCGAGGCGAACGGTGTGCCCGTGTACGAGACGCTCACGGGCTTCGACGGCCGGGTGAAGGAACTAGAGGCGCGGATCAAGGAGGCGGAACTAGAGATGGAGAGAGTGGCGGCCCGGCAGCGGGAGCAGCTGGCGGCGCTGGAGCAGCACGCGCACCACTTCGGGGGGCCTATTCACATCGATGGGGGCCACGGCCACGGGGGGCGATTTGGCGGCGACGGCGGACACGGGCATGGGGGAGGCATGCCCCCCCACGGCGGATACCTGCACGGGCGTCCGGAGAGCGCGTACGGCGCCGACCGTCCGCACCTCCGGGAGGAGCATCGACGGGAGCGGCGCGAGGCAGGCGCCCCATACCGGAACAACGGGGACCGTCGGCAACGGCCTTCGTCTCAAGAGACCGGGCGGAAGAATTGGGCGACGAGACCGGCAACCCGGGGGCGGGGCAGAGGGCCGGGTGGGGGCGCTGGAAGGGGCTCGGGCTGGGCAGACCATGGAGTCGACTCGATAGGGCCGATCGAGAGGGGTGAGCCGTTGATGCCGATGGACGGGCAGTGGCGGGAGAACGAGGTCAGGCCGGACTTCTTCGGACAAGCGTTGCCACCTCCGCCGCCCTTTGTCCCTCCCGAGGCTGAGTTCCAAGGATTCCCAGGCGCCCCGTTTGAGCCACCGCGACCTCCATTCTTTTGACCAACGGGACACGGGGGTGTGTAAGTTGGTTGTACCATGTCAGAGTGTTTGAGCCGAACTGCGTAGCCTAAATCCTGTTTCATAAGAGGCAGTCAGTGTGTCAAGCGAACCATCTCGTGTAGCCCAGATCCTGTTTCATAAAGCTAGTTAGTGTGTTCAAGACGAAGAAGCTTAATTCTGTTGGATTCAGGGCGCCTTTCAAGTACGACCGAGGGGATGTGCAAGCATACAGCAGCTGCTGGCGACATAGGGATATCTTAAAAAGGAGCTTTGAAGTAGAAGGGTTCTTGTCACATTAACATGTCGGCCAACTGTTGACCGGCATTTGTGGTCACTAAGCGAAGATTGCGAGATTGGAAGTTGTACAAAAGTACATGATTCTGATGCTGGTGCTCGCGGACATGAGCGCAATTGCTGATAGGTAATGTCAAACGAAATGTGCTTGCTGACGTCCTGAACTCGATACAAGATTGCGCGCATGAAAACATCCATTGTATCATTGGAATGAGTATGTTTCCAAGGATGACATGCTGATTGCACATTTGAAGTTGAGCGCAGCCATGCATGAGCCGGGTCCAAAGGAACACATGTGACATTGTGCAGCTCTGCATGCTAATGCAATGCGAGCTCCTGGCTGGACCATACTAGCTATAGGATATGCAGATTAGTCGAACTTGCGATATACCTAAAGCATGCGCGATCTGCTATCATGCATCATGTGCAAATGCTACTACCATTATGTACGCCTGTCCCCCGCGAGCCGTGGAAGGCATGTGTTGATTATACACGGATTATACACTCATGTGTAAATCCTTCAATGTTGGCAGGCACATGAGACAATCAACGAGAGAATCTGAAATTCTAGGTCGATTTGAACGTGCGCAGAAGCTCTAGTTCTCTACAGCACAGCCTACCCGTGCAGGCTTGCTGCAAGCGTGTGTCTGGATGCAGTACTTCCCGTAGTGCAAGTTTGAAGCTGAAGCGCGCCAATGACTAGTTGACTCCAGACTCTCGAGTCTTGGGAAAAATTCGGACCACTGCAAAGTACTCTCCGAAACAATGATGTGAATGAACATAGTTTAGACCTCTGGTTCCACTGGGCTTTAGACACGGGTTCGACGTGTCCATCGAAATACGGTAACTGGATCGATACGCCTTTTGCCCTTCTCTCGCGGTCAGAAACATTTTGATCCACACCTGTCGAGTCGAGTAGTCCCGCTAACCCTACCTTGTAACCCTCTTCTAGTGGTAATTCACATGCTGCCTAATTCCTCCTTGCTGGACTCGGCTCCGCTTTCGCAAGCTGAAATGAAGGGCTTTTGGAAGAGGGCAGCAAGCTCTGACTAGGGCTTCCATGTGAATTGCTCACGTGTAGTGCTTCTCTTGAGAAGCTATCCTACCTTTGCACCTTCGAGTGTTGGCAGGACCCACAACTTGTCTGATGATTGAGAATGTTGAGGGCATAGGGTCTGCAATCGGCGACAATCAACTTTGTGCGGAGCTTCCTTGAAATGTAGGTACCGCTGATGGGACACAATTGGACTGCACATGCTTAGTTGTGTTGGAGCCACACCGAGAGTAGCAGATTGCACTGACGGCAAGAGCACACGAGCCCTGACTGCAAAAGAGGACAACTGGAGCCGTGCGGGGGGCACTCGACAGCTGTTGCTGGGTTTGGTCCAATCAAGGCATGCAGCCATCTCTCAGCCATCTCTTTTGTGCTCGACTGCTGCTTTTGGTAATGCTTGTGGGAAGGATTGAGCCGCCGGCTGTGCATTTATCGGAAATTTTACCCTTCTACAGTGAAGCAGGGAGATACGTTCCTGTACTAATGCACACACCTCATAGAAGCATTCATTTGCTGTACACCTTTTGTGTGGCACTCCGTGTGCTTCTGTGGGGCAGGACGAACGTTGCTCTAATCCCGGATATACTTTTTGTGTCCGTGGTACGCCGTGCTTTGCCACGCTGATCATAAACCAAGCCCCATTTTTCCGCTGTCTTCCCGTAGTTCGATTTCAGAGCGTTAGAGTGCTTGTGCAGGTGTCTAGGGTTTCGTTGGAGGTGCATTCAGGCTGCACTCAAGGACGAACGAGACGTTTCAGGAGGTCACGGTGGGGCTTACCTCCTTGCTCACAACCCTAAAAGTTGCGACTGCTGCCGTGAGCTGTCACATCCGGTTCTGCCGCTGTCCCTGCATTGGGGAAGCAAGCAAACCTAATCGTTGCTTTGGGATCTAGCCCTTCCACACCCCTGGGCTCTGGCGAAATCGTCTATTATATCAAAGGATCAACAGACTTTTCATCTTTCAATTCATCGTCCTTCCCCAACATGCCCGGTTTTGTTGTGTCGCTCTGTGATTAGAAGTGTGCATTCACAGTATTCAACGAAAGCAATTGCATTCCGTAGCTAGATTTGGTTCTGCACGATAGCCTCCCAGGGTGGGTTTGTCATCCAAGGGCTTGCCTTGAAAATCGACATTCTGTGTTTCATGGACAGCTTTGCCTTATGTACGTTTTAGGGTTCTGCTCGGTAGGAAATCTGCTCAATTCTTGTGTTCCTTCCGGCATTCGAGTATTTGGAGCACATGCCCCCAGGACGTTGTTCGTCAAGGGCTCTGAACTTTGAGCAAGCAGGGAAAACTTTTCAAATAAAACTTTGTTTTTCATATCCCATGCTCCATCTACTCCTTCTAAGCAGCATTCTTTCCTTTTTAGGTCCCATCCGCGAAGTATATTGAAAGTAGATCATCGCATCCTGCTGTCGAAAACCTAGTCTTTTTGTTGCACCCAGTTGAAGTTTGAAGTAGGCTTGTCAACATATTCAAAAACGTCTTCATTGCTTCATCTTGTCCGGTACTGTAAAGGAGACAAAGGCTGGTGAGCGTTATCTACCAAGAGAAGCTTCTAACCGCTCCTTTCTGTCTTGTCAGGCGCCCTTTCACGCCGTCAGATTGGATGCTGATGGTATCTCCTTAGAGAAGGAGCGCCAGTATGTCAGCCGAGGCTGCTGGTAGGTTTGCGCTGTTTCTTTTTTCTTGATCGTCCTTCAAATCCGGCTCTGCTTTGAGGCTTTGCCTGAACAGGTTCTGTTTCCATTTAAGGCTGTCGGAGACTTATTCCAAAAGAATCTAGTATTCAGGCGTGTCGATCTTCCTCAGATATCTGCAATTCAAAGCCTGCTTACCTTTCGTGAGAACAATGTTCATCCTTGTCGGTTTCGACAAAATGTATGAAAATACTTGTTGAGTTTCGACACTTCAAAGTCATTGGAACGTCAGGCATGGTATTTATTCACTTCATTAGTTTTCAGTGAAAGCAGCCCTAATATCGTTAGAAACCGTGTCAACTTTTACTTGCTTTCCGCCTCTGTCTGGCTGTGTTGAATGGAAAAACGCTGGTTCCTTCTTCTCCTAGAAACGATTTGCAAGGGGTTTTAGCCGTCAAAATTAGAATTTAGAGACAGCTCAGGTCTGACTACAGCAGTCAGGTTTGCACCCTTGATTGGTTGTCCACACTTCATTGCAGACCCCCCAAGCCTCCCCTCTGTCTCCCAAGATCCTGATTTACACCAAGGAGGTGGCAACCTCGCTGCCAACCCTTCAGACCTGGGAGTGACGGGTGTGAATAAGGGCAATGAGACTCTAGCGGTATCGTGGGAGCGGGTCAACGAAGCTCCAGCTTCTCCAGGGACTGTGGCCATTCGCACTGTCGAAGAGGAACTCAGGTGAATGGATGGCTGCCTGCCGGCGGTTTAAGATGCCAGCCTGTCGTGCGCTTTCCATTCTTCAACCATTCTTTCAAACTTCACATTGTTCTATGTTGCCCTCTATCCTGACAAGTCTCACGTTATGCGGCTTACATTTGGGATTCCTGAGACAGGCCCTGGATCGGATTTGCCTGGTCTGCACTGAAGCATTGCAAACAGAAACATTTCCAAGATGGATGTAGGACGTCCACTGACAACAAGATGTTCGCTGAAGTCATCACGGTTGAAGTCGAGTAGAGGTTGTGTACGAGCTGTGTAATACAAGGAGCATATATTGAAGGACTCGAATCTGCTCACTTCCATAAGTTCAGAAGATGCTAAACCCCAGACACTGGTTTCGGTTTTTCAGCTCTTTAGCTTCACCTTTTGCAGCATCTTTCATCTTGCTTCTGTTGACACGTTTCTTTTATGCCGTTGGCAGAATTGTTACGCAATTTGCTCATGCTTTCATTTTCTGATAGCGAGTTGCCGGTTGGTCTTGGTGTCTTACTTGGTAGAAAGATCTGGGCCTGTCAGATACAATCTACTGAAGTTGGGCCTTTCTTGGAGGTATACAACCTCCCCCTGGTGGTAGATAAGCGGCTTTGAATATGTCCTCGGAAGTTGAACTTTCCTCTGGGAACCTGAGGAGTTTTTGTGGATTTGTTTTCCACTCTGTCCGACCATCTTTCGTACACCTTTCAGTGATTGAGCAGATCATGTCCGCAGCAACAATTGCAATTGATCGGGCTTGCGGGTGAACAAGGTGCCAGTCTTGCAGGCTTACAAAAGCTGCCGAAATCTTCGTACTGACCCCCCTCTGACCATCTCTTTCAGGCAAGAGTTTGCTGCCCTGAACGAGCAGCGCCGGGAGCTTGAGTTCCTGGAACGGGGGGGCAACCTCCTCGACTTCGACTTCACCCCCCTTCCCTCGACGAACGGCATCATCCACAAGCACCCCCCCATTCCGGCGGCCGCGGAACACAAAGAGAAGGCCGGTTTGCACCCCCGAAATGGAGAGACTCTGGCGAGCGAGCGGGACGGGAGTCGGACAGCCAGCACGAGCGGGCAGGAAAACAGGGTGTTTGCGAATGGTCTCTGGAGGGGGCAGGGCGTGGTTTCGCGGGACAGCACCAGTCCGGAGAGGTTGAGAAGCGCCTTAGAACTAGGCGCGACAGGTCTCAGCGCGTGGGGAGGCGGAGATCTGGAGCCTGGAAAGAAGGAGGGGATCGGGGTACTGCCAAACGGATTACTGGCGTCAGCTGCAGAGGCGCTGATGTCAGCGGGCACTCGGGCAGGCTCGGTGGGCCTCTCCGAGACCACAAACGGGAGCCACGTGACAGGAGGTTATCCAAGCGACGTTGCGATGCTTGACGTCAGCATGGTCCCGCTGACGTCACCCGTGCCTCCAGGGGCTGATCTCGCGTTTGTAAAGCTCCCAGGGGACGAAGTGCTCCCTCAGGTTCCGGCGCTGACGTCATCGCCGATTCTCGACCCCCTTCCCGCCTCCGTAGCCCCCCCTCAAGTCGCAATTCTGCCCCTCCCAGCTGAGCTGAATAAAATGCCCCTAGAACCCCCCCCAGAAGTGGCACTGGTCGTTGTTGGCACAGAACCCCCTGAAAAGAAGAGGTCGCACCATGGGGGCTCGGTAGGGGTGATGCATGGGGCACGGTTGGGGGACAAGGGCGTGCCGATGCCGTGGGAACAGACGGAGGGGGGGCTCCTGGCGAGGGAAAAGAAGAGGTTGGCGATGATCGAGAGTGCAAAGCGGGCGCACGAAGACTGCATACTGGAGGAGGCAGAGATACTCAAGGTACAGCTTTTGCATCGTTGTTCGCATTTAGAAGAGCATCAATACTGAAGACGTTCAAGCAGCCTTTCGGTATTCTTAGTTTTCGAGCGAGCAAGAAGATCCCGGATCCAGGGTTCATGAAACTTGTCGATTCGAAGTATATCAGAGTTCAGGAACTGAGAACCGCGGGCTTGGAGAATTATATACTTGGAAGAGCCACTTCTGGAAGGTGTTAACCATATTTGCTGACGTTCCGAACCTGCAAAACAATGGGTCAACAACCAATAAGGAATCTCAGTGTGAAATCCCAGCTTGAACGTTTTGCTTTCCGATGAAATACCAACATCGTGACAAGCTGATCTGAACTGAGTGCGTCTTCATCTAGTAACATTTCAACTTCACTCCGCACACTTAGAGACCTGACAGACGACCTGATAGAGATAGTGTGTCGGTGCAACTCGATTGCCCGGTCTTAGCTGGTTGAGCATCAAACGCGGATGAGCGAACGTTGATACCAAGCTCTCAGAGTCTCTGCTCCTTGGTCAGGCTGCTCGAAAAGCAAACCTCGAGATCTCGCGGCGGAAGCCAGCAGCGGAGCCCCCCCGGTTCAAGACCCACTGGGACTACGTGCTGGAGGAGATGACATGGATGGCCAACGACTTCCAGCAGGTAAAACCCACTCGAATCCCTGGGAAAGCTGTTGGCATCATCTTGATTGTACCTATAGTCTCCGCTGGTCCAGGCTGGTTCCAGACAGTAAGCATCAGGTTCGCAATGGGGAGTCTCAAAGAGTTGGTGATTCTTTCCGTTCTCGTTGACTGTCACGCAGCGTTTGAAATGACTACTGCTGCTTTGTAGTCGTGTTCGGGTTGCTGCTGCTTTGAGCACTTGCAAGCAGCAAATGAGACGCTCCTTTTCGGCTTCCCTTCTCAGGAGCGAGTATGGAAGACGACGGCAGCCGCGAGCGTGGCCGGCTGGGTGCGGGACGACTTTCTCGCAAAGGCCAAGCCCACAGAGGACCGCGAGGAGCTACGCAGGATCGTGGCGCGAAGGGCAGCCGAGGCGGTCTCGGGCTTTTGGTACGGTGTAAAAAGGCTCGACGATGATAAGGCCGGAGAACTAGAGGGGGGGTCAAAAGACGTGCAAGCCGAGGGAGCGAGGCCGGGGGTCAGCTTGGAGTCACAGGGGTCTGGTGCCAGGAACAAGAGCGGACGGCTGAAAGGCAGGGAAGTGACGTCACCTGGGAAGGGGGAAACAGTGGAGAAGCCGATGAGTGGGGCGGGGCATGCGGGGGTGCTGAAAGAGGACGGGCTGCCGACGGGGGTGAATCCGGACGGTATTGTACAGGTGTCGGTGCCGGAAGTGGGTCCGACGGAGGCGGAACGGGAAGAGGCCCCGTTGGAGGAAACGGGGTCGGTTGAGGAGTATGCGTTGCGGGTGCTTCGGGAGCAGAAGGGGCCTTCCGATGGGCCGGGGACGCCGGAGCAGGACTGGGAACGGGGGTGCGCGGTCCTAGAGGACCCGTTGATGTGGTTCGTACCGAAGGGAAGCATGGCGGCGTACCGGGCGCTCGTGGAGCGGGAGCAGAAGGAACTAGAGGCGGAGCACGAGAAGCGCGTGCGGGAGCACGAGTCGGCGGTGGCGAGCGCGCAGCGGGAGCTGGAGGCGGAGGAAGCGACTAAGGCGATGAAAGACGCGGGGCTGAATCTCGACTTCGAGAATCAGTACGATGCTCTGAACGCGCTGAATGTTGACTTTGATGGGCTGGAAACGGCGCTCGGGGAAGGCGGTTTGGGTCTTCTGGTTGGGGACGTTGGCGTTTCGGGCGGGGGAGATATGGTCGATCCGTTGGGAGACATTCCGCTCAGTCTGCACAACGACTTCACGGTTCCGGGGATGCCGGTCGTGAATAAGAAGAAGCGAAAGAACGACCGGAAACGGAAGAAGCACCACCGGCTGAAGGAGAGAAACGAAGACGAGTTTGGGGAGGCGCCGACGCCGTCGCAGTCAGGGAACGTGTCGGGAAGTTTGGCGGAGGATGCCGAGAACGGGCTGGACTTCAGGAACGAGTATGGGCAGAGTGCGGAGGTTTTCGAGCGGCCGGTTGTGCAGCGAGCGTCAGAGCCGACAACCAACAATAACAGTCACCCGGGGACGCCGGCCGGGTTGAATCCTACGAAGCGGAAACGGACGGACCGGGGCCGGCACGGGGTTAAGGCGGAACCCAAGGCGGTTAGCGAGGAGACTGCAAACGGGGCGGGGGGCAGCGTCGAGCGGAAACGGGCGGACTCGGATAGCGATGACGACAATCCGATCGGGCACTTGATACGGGAAAAGAAACGAGAGCGGGGCGATCCGGATGAAACGCAGCCGTTGGCAGTGCGGATACGGAAGAAGAAGCGGAAGGACCTGAGCAAGATTGTGGACTCGCTGAGAGGGGAGTCGCCTGCAGAGGAAACTCTGGAGGCGACGAGGCTGAACAGCGGGCAGTACGCGAAGAAGCGGATACGGGTGAGGGGCCGCTCAAAAAGTTGTTGAATTCATTCGTTGGTTCTTTTCTTGGACGCAGTCCCGAAACTGGCTGGCGTTAATCGTTTGGCACAGTCCTTTTTGGACCTATACCGACGTTTCTGTTGGACCTTTCAATCAGTTCGATGTACAATGTCCTTTAAACTGGGCTCTTCAAGAAGTCGTGTTGCTGTCATCCCTGTCGATTTTTATTCAGCCCTCTGCGAGTCTAAGCCCGAGGAATGTCGTCTGATTTGCAAGCTCCCCCAGCTCCCTGCAACGATAGTGGGGAAGAGTTCAGAGAGTTGTGCAACGGCTTGCGCCTTGGTCCATTGACTGGTCACCAAAGAGGGCGTTCTCAGCGGCCCCTAGAGTTCGTCTGACCCCCTCCACTCGCCCAGAATATTCTTCATCGACAAATTTGTCCAGGCTTGTCACCCTTTTTCTTTTTTAACACCGCATATGCACCATTTCTCGTTTTTCCTGCTTGCAGACGAGCAACAAGCAGATCCGCATCCCGTCCGATTACGACGACAACGAGGACTCGCCCCTCTCACTGAAGCGCCCGTTCTCCCCGTCACCCGACCCGGACCGCCCCATCTCCGCGAAAAGCAAAAAGCTCAAAAAGGGCCAGGAAAGCCCCGGGGCGTCGCTCAGGGGGGCAAAAGACCTGCCAACGGAACCCCCCGAGGACGACGACGAGCCGCTGCTCCGGCCGAACAAGAAGAAGAAGAAGAAAAAGCAGGAGGCGCCGCTGCCGCTGCAGCGGATCTCGCCCAATCAGGAAGGGGTGCACGTGCCATGGGCACCGGGAGAGGATGCGGTGAGCAGGGGCTATAGGAATTATGTTTCACCAGCGTTTGTTTGCGGGCTTATTTTGCAGGTTCTTGGGATTGAAGTCTAGCATGTCGGCCTTGAAAGGTACTTCAATTCAAGGTTCTTGCAATATCGTCTGTTTCGTATCAAAGTAGTAAAGGTGTCTGAGTCTCCATAAAATGCAAAGCTTTCCTTTGGACGTTTGACTTGAGAAAGCATACATATGAAACAGAGCTTCTTTCCTTCCACGGTCTACTGGCCGCAATGTATCCGAGTTGGGCCGAACTGGCCAGTACTACGAAATGACCTGCTAAGTGCAATAGTACCCGACTTGGGCCAAGTTTTCGGACCACCAGAGTGCACCCTCAAGCTTTTGCCCGAGTTTCTTTGGACTGTTGCACGTTTGCCCGAGTCTCGCAATTTTGCGTTCACCTTTCGTTAGATTCTTCACGCAACATGCCATCTTGACAAACGTTCATCGCTGTTTTGCAGATGCTGGCTGCGATTGTGTCCGAGTTGGGCCAGAACTGGAACCTCGTCAGCGACACGCTAAGCGCCACGGTGGCCCTGAAAGGCGTCTACCGGCAGCCCGCCCACTGTAAAGACCGCCACGCCGCCCTCGCCGGCACCGGGGAGAACGAGCGCCTCTCCCCGGAGGAGGCCGCCATAGCAGCTGTTGGGCTCACCAAAAAGGTGAGACCGATCATATCTTGGTATTTTTTTATTTTCTAGATGAGAGAGAGAGAGAGAGAGAGAAAGCACGGCACGCCAGGGAAGAGCCTTGAAGAACAAGCTACTACAAGCTCCGGTGGTTCAAATCAGATTAGATCCAGACCCTTCCTCGTAGACCAATCGTTGATTTGAGGTTCGACGAATGGAGGACTGCTAAGGACCCAGCTAAGGGTCATGCTCGTTTTAAATGTCAAGAACTGGCCACACATGTGCTAGGCAGTAGACAAACTCGGGTAGCTGGTTCCCTTTGTATTTGGCTCTGTTTCATCTGTTGCACGTATCTGAGATGCACTCAAGATTCGAGTCTCGTCCCTTGCCTCTCGAAAGCATGCCGAAAACGAGAAGCGTAATTCTTGTTTGGATTCCGCATGAATGGAGGTTTTTGTAGCAGGAAGCCATCTCTTTCAGGATGGGAGCTTGAGCGTTTTGGAATCAAATGAGCTCTGCCACTGGCGAATTGCTCACTGATCCTCGTCTTTGTCCTTGCTCTTGCAGCATGCGGCACGCGAGCTTTTGGCGACCCACGGCATGGCCGACGACGAGACAATCCAGAAGCATGTAGAGCGCATTGTACAGCTAGCGAGCAAGCACAAGACTAGGAAGGCACAGGTAAGCGACTTTCCTTGTCTGCTGCCTCTTCATGCATGTCTGTTCTCTATAATTTGTTGACTGTTTGCAGATTGGTCGCTGGCTTGCTAGTTGACACAGATAATCAGCACAACATTGGAGCGACGTCTTTGGCTTACTGCATCTGTTCTGTTGACAGCATTTTTTCCTCTAGTATCTCCTCTAGTATTTCCTCTAGTAGTGTGGGTTAGGCTTGAGTCGATTATTGCTGGAGTTCGTCTCTGTGGCAGTATTTGTATCACTCTGCTTGTTGAGTTAAAGACAAAAGCCCATGCACAATCAAAGGCTTGTGGCTCTTCTTGGTATGGATGTTCAAAGCAGTCTCACGGTGTTTTGCCACTGGCTAGACTTGGGAAGCATGGTTGATCACGGCCCCGCACAAAGCATCATCGCAATCTCGGGTCGTGTCAGCTCACATACTCCGTCGTGTCTTTGTGTGCAGCAGGATGCTCAGAACGAGAAGGGGCGGGTGCACTCTCCGCACCCATCCCACCAAGCATGCATGGCGCAAGCCATGGTCCCCAATAAAGGGTTGTTGAAGTGAGCACCTCTCGCCCGTGACTCTGTGGAGCCCCGTCTTTTATTCTCGAATAGACTGTTCTGGATAGTCTATTCTTAAGGAAGCAGAGGGAGAAGGCGCGTTGTGATCCTTCAGCATTCCGAAAGGCTACTCTACGAACGTTTGTTGCTCGAGTGGAACCCAGCCCACTGTCAGAAATTTCGTCCCTGTGCCTGATTAGATTTACTTGCCTTCATTTAGGCAGGCCTCTTGAACGGGACAAAAGCCTGTTATCGTCCATTACTACTTAGATTGGCTCACGATAAAATTCACAGCAACAACAGTAAATTCGAGTTGATTGTATCCTATGCCCCTTCTAGTCGAGCGAGTGTCCATCCACATCGGCTCTACTTGCTCGACATGAACCAACGATGAATGATTCTCAGCATCAAACCTAGTTGTAAAGCAAAATAGAACCCAACGCAGCTGTCTCCACAGGTCCCTTCCGTTTATGCAAGCGAATCCCTATTACAAATTAGAAAGTGTTTTAAAAGTAAACCCTATGCATCCTTTTCCACAGCCCCCTCGAGTTGTGCGAGCGCCCCTCCGGCGTTGCGAGCGGGGACGTGCCGGCGCTCCCCCCGGGCGCGTCGTACCTGGCGAGCATGAGCAACGGCTCCTCCGGCGACTTGCAGCACCTCTCCTCCATGCTGCCCCCTGGCGTGCAGCTGCAGCGCCCGGTGCAGCCCATGCAGCCAGGCCTCCACATAGCGCAATCGTGAGTCTCTCTTTTCGGGGGGGTAATCTGGCTTGTCTGTAACGGGTGGGCAAGCTGTGCAGCCAGGCACTCACATGGAGCAGTCGTGAGTTTGTTTTCCCGGGGGGGACTGGCAAGGTCCGCTGGCAAGGTAGCTCAGTCAGTGCGGCTCGCAAGCCAGCTCCGCACACTGCGACTTGAGTTGTTCCATGAGAACGGAGTTGCACGGGCTCAGAACCTGATGACTTGATGAGATGCTTTGGTTACATATCGAAGCACATTCTCGGAGGATGGCCTTCTCGTGAGTATGTGCAGAGGTTGGTTTTCCTGAGATCCGGGTTCTTGTTCAGCCGTTTTCAGTCTCTTTCCCTCTTTCTGTAGTTGAAGACTTGCTTGGGGGCAGAGGACCCTCCGTGCGATCAGAGCCAGGCCTTTACAGCGTGCGACCCTAACTTTGACGCATTCCAGGTGTTTGTAAAGCGATAGTGTCCTGATCTGTCTTCGGCGCTTCTGGACGCTTTTCGGTCGTACCCGTCACTCACTTAGACGCCCAAGCCCTATCTCCAAGGCCTGTGCGGTCTTCTCAATGCCTGGGCGCTTATCTCGGACGCTTCTTTCTGCAGTGGCACCACGCGCCAGATGACCGCAGACCAGGTGCGCCAGCTGCGCTACCTGGCGCAAGCCAAGCTGCAGCAGCAAGCGGTTGCTGCGGGCAACGGCAACAGTCCCAGCCTCGAAGCCGCTGCCTCGATGGGGCCCCCCGGAAGCGCCGCCACCGCCGCGCTCCTGAACCGGAACCTGAGCCTGGCGGCCAACCGGAGCTCGCCAGGTGGCGCCGGCACGATGCTGCCACCTGGCACGACGCAGCTCCAGGGGAACGTCCCGAAGAGGAGGCCCACGACGGCGGCGGAGGCGATCGATCTGGCGCGGAGCGGGCGGCTGACGGAGCAGCAGAAGCAGCACATACTGCAGCAATTGCAGGTGGGGTCTCGTTCAGTGGTCTTGGATTGGAGAGTGGTGGCGTTCCGCTCAATACTGAAGCCATATTTTCAAATAAACGTTCGCCCCGGATTTGGAATGAATCATACTCATACCAGCTCCAAGCTTCCATAAGCTTTCCCACCCGGCTCTTGGTGCACCGACCTATTTGTGATTGACAAAAGCAGCGTGATGTCGTAAAGGTAGGTAGCTGGGACATGCACGGGGTCCTGTTTTGTACGGAGTTAATTCGGACGTTCTTACATCTACAGGGAGGGAGATACTGCAGGTGCAGGGGTTGGGTTTGAGTGCTGGCTCTTCAGCAACTCCTACACACTCTTAGACCCCCTAAGGACCCGCTTCCGTTAGGATCAGTATCTTCCAGAAGTTGAGCAGACCTTGACCCGCTTCTTCAGCCAAGCCTTACGAGCGTTTCAACATCCCCCTTTTCCTCCATTACAGGTTCAAGCAGCGAGCGGCAATTCGACGGCAGCGGCCGCAATTGCGCAGCTCATGAGCATCACCGCAGGCGGGGGGGCGGCGCCCAACTCGCAGCAGCAGCAGCTGTCCCAGGCCATGGCCGCGCGCGCCCGTCAACTCCAGGCCCAAAACCAGACGCAATTGGTGCAACAACAGCAGGCCAGCCAGGCGCATCTGCTTTCGCACGGCCTCGGGGGGGTCCAGGGGCGCGTCCCCCAGATGCAGAAGCAAGGCTCCGCGATGGGGGGAATGAACAAGCTGGGCCCT